ACGAACATTAAGTGCATTACGTTAAAAGAACGATGTTATGAGAACCCAAATGGTCCTTGGCAGGAAAAAGTTCCCCAGCCCTGTCCCAGGGGAACCGGTGGACGTGTTATAAATGACCAGCTCCAAAGGCGACAGAAGAACACGTGCGGGTACGGGTCAGGAATATCGAAATGCACGTGCCAATGGGAAGGAAGTGATTTCTCTCTCTCTCTCTCTCTCTCTCTCTCTCTCTCTCTCTCTCTCTCTTTTTAAAAAATATTTTATTGATTTTTCACAGAGAGGAAAGCAGAGGGATAGAGAGCTAGAAACATGGATGAGAGAGAAACATCAACCAGCTGCCTCTTGCACAACCCCTACCAGGGATGTGCCTGCAACCAATGTACATGCTCTTGACCGGAATCGAACCTGTGACCTTTCAGTCCACAGACCGACGCTCTATCCACTGAGCCAAACCGGTTTCGGCTGGAAATGATTCCTCCATAAGGGGCCGAGGAGGACTGTGTACGGACAGGACAGTCTGGCCAGCAGCCCGCAGTTTACACTGGGACAGAGCTCAGCGCCAGCGCCAGGCGGGGGCCCGGCACCCAGGAGGGGACACTGTGGACAGCGCGTAGTTGTCCGCCGGGTGCACCCTTCCTCGGCAGCAGGAAGGTCACCGAGAGGGTGCCCTCCGTGGTCTCTAACCTGATGGCCCGCCAATGGGTTAGGGTGACTCACTCGCTGAACACAAAGTCCTCTCTGAAGGAATTGGGGAAGTTCAGCCTCCGGGCAAGCGGGAGGCCTACAGCCGGAAAGCATCAGCATTTCAGAGGGAGGGTGCAGGGCAGCTATGATATTTTTTTCAGCTGGATGTTGGCATCTGGAACATTCCAGAACGTATGTGTGTTTGTGACCCGAGTTGGTGGCAGAGGCCTGTGGTTTTCACTGGGCAGTTACACCACTTCTCTGATGTGCACTGTCCCTGTCTCTGAATTGGGAGTGAATGTATATAGATTGTGAATGTTTTTAAAAATATATATATTTTATTGATTTTTTTTACAGAGAGGAAGGGAGAGGGAGTTAGAAACATTGATGAGAGAGAAACATCCATCAGCTGCCTCCTACACACGCCCTACTGGGGATGTGCCCACAACCAAGGTACATGCCCTTGACTGGAATTGAACCCAGGACCTTTCAGTCCGCAGGCCGACGCTCTATCCACTGAGTCAAACTGGTCAGGGCAGATTGTGAATATGTTTAATGAGCAGCTATTCACCTTATGAAAAGTGTATTTTTAAATGGATCAGACTGTTTCTTTGACATGGTCACTGGGGTATTTTCAGATCAGCCCAGCCTTCTCCTGTCCCCTGTGTGCCCCCCACCAAGTCCTCATTTCCATCACCTGTGTTCTTAGCAGCGTGGGTTGCAGCATTCAGCCGCCATGGACATGCTGGCGTGAACTACAAACACCTGGGTGTGGCCTCAGGGGAGGGGGTCCGGGGAGGGGTGACAGACCAGCACGGGTCTCCCTCCTAGAGGGTGTATTCTGGTCGCAGGAAGGCCACAGTTTTCCTTTGTTTCTTCTCTCATCCTCTTTGCAATCGCGCACGGTAGGCGGGCAGGAAGCATCCCTTCTTGCATCTGGAGAAGCATGCCTAGTTCGCTAGCCCATGCTGCCCTCTAGTGGCTGTGCCCGGTAGCTCAGGGCAGCCAGCAATGTCTCCCTGGGTTTGCAGGCTGCATGGCCAGCCTTCCTAGGACCCCAATCATGGGCACCTGTTTCCCCGCTCAGGACTCCTACATCACTTTATCAGCCACTCTCTATCCCTGAGCATTAAATATACATATCTAATTGTCGTAAAATATACATAACAACATGTAGCATCGTGACCATTTTAAAAATATATATATATATTTTATTGATTTTTTTACAGAGAGGAAGGGAGAGGGATAGAGAATCAGAAACATCGATGAGAAACATCGATCAGCTGCCTCTTGCACACCCACTACCGAGGATGTGCCCGCAACCAAGGCACATGCCCCTGACAGGAATCGAACCCGGGACCCCTCAGTACGCAGGCAGACGCTCTATCCGCTGAGCCAAACCGGTTCCAGCCATCATTACCACTTTTAAGTGGCAGTAGAGTCACTCTATTGTGTAACCATCTCCCCATTCATCTCCCAACTGTTAATCTTGTCAATTGAAACTCTGTAACAGCTCCCCATCCCACCTCCCCAAGTGCTCTCCGTGCTCTCTGCACAGGACCTCCTACTTCCTGTCTCTAAGAATGTGACTACCCCTATTGCCTTATCTAAGTGGAATCATTCAGTACTACTTAAAAAAAAAAAAAAAAAAAAAAAATATATATATATATATATATATATATATATATATATATATATATTATTGATTTTTTAGAGAGGAAGGGAGAGGGATAGAGAGTCAGAAACATCGATGAGAAACATTGATCAGCTGCCTCTTGCATACCCCCCACTGGGGATGTGCCCGCAACCAAGGTACATGCCCCTGACCGGAATCGAACCTGGGACCTTTCAGTCCGCAGACCAACACTCTATCCACTGAGCCAAACTGGTTTCAGCTCAGTACTATTTTAAAAAAATATATTTATTTTATTGACTTTTACAGAGGGAGAGGGATAGAGAGTTAGAAACATCGATCAGGATGTGAGGGCGATCTGGCTGCGACATCTGTCACCCCATTGATTGCCAGGGTTGATTCGGCTGATCTGGCTGGCTAGGCGGGTGTCCCCCTCCTCCCTCACCAATCCATGTGAGTCCCTCCCGAAGCTGCGCGCTCGGTCGAAGAGGACGACTTTCCCCCAAAATGAGAGGACTGGTCTTTGGTCAAGGGTATACGAGTAGCTGGGCTCCCCTGCTAGAACCTCCAAACAAGCTCTCAAGAAACATCGATCAGCTGCCTCCTGCATACCCTTGACTGGGGATGTGCCCAAAACCAAGGTACATGCCCTTGAGCAGAATTGAACCTGGGACCCTTCAGTCTGCAGGCCGACACTCTATCCACTGAGCCAAACCAATTAGGCCTCACACAGTACATCGATGTGACTGGCTTATTTCTCACTGCAGGACCCCTTCCCCCCCCCCCCCCCGAAGTGTCCCCTTTATAAAGTGGTGTATACATGTGCAGCCTGGAAGACAAAAGCACCCCCAGAATTTCACCCAGATAGCAGCCCTGCAAAACAACCAACGGGACTCAGGCTGGGCCGGGAGGAGTCACAGCACGAGGGTCCAGCTTCATGGCAGGAAAAGCCAGGCAGTGGCCCCTGACAGCAGGGAGCCGGCCTGGCCCTCAGCGTTGGGCCTGGGTGAGCTCCAACCTCACAGCTCACCGTGGCCGCCTCTGGGCCAACTGCAAAGATGACCAGCACCCCATCCTCCAGGCACTGCTGCCCCCCAACCAGGCACAGCTGTAGGGCCACACCCTCAATGTAAAAAAGCTTCTCGATCCTAGCATTTTCCCTGCTTCCGGACACACGCTCGGAGCAAACCCCCACTCCCTTAACTCCTCTCCCAATTCCTCACACCTGCCCACGTCCCAAGTCCCTCCTCACCAGGCCGTGCAGCAGCAAGCACAGCAAACCCCCCGTTGTCGCCTGGGGCATGTCTCTGATGGATGGGCTTCCTTAGGACCACCAGGAAGGCAGATACGAGGCGTGATGACCAAGGTCTGCTGGCCAGTGCCCCAGAGGAAGCAGTCACCTGCTCCCTAGTCAGCAACCCACCAGCCCAACATTCTGTCCACCACAGCAACCTTATGTTATTATTCTTTTTAAAATATATTTTATCAATTTTTTTACAGAGAGGAAGAGAGATAGTCAGAAACATTTGTGAGAGCCGAAACCGGTTTGGCTCAGTGGATAGAGCACATGTGTCAAACACAAGGCCCGCGGGCCAAATCCATCCCGCCAGGCCTTACAATGTGGCCCGCACCGCGCTGTCATCACTGCACTCCGCTGCGTTTCCATCACAATGACAGTTTATGACTGTTCAGTAAACCATTCGGCCCACGATTTAGGCTGGATTTTAGATTTTGGCCCCTTCTCTGATTGAGTTCGACACCCCTAGGATAGAGCATCAGCCTGCGGACTGAAAAGTCCCGGGTTCGTTCCGGTCAAGGGCATGTAACTCGGTTGCAGGCACATCCCCAGTAGGGGGTGTGCAAGAGGCAGCTGATCCATGATTCTCTCTCATTGATGTTTCTAACTCTCTATCCCTCTCTCTTTCTCTCTGTAAAAAATCAATAAAATGTTAAAAAAAAAATATCGATGAGAGAGAAACATCGATCAGCTGCCTCCTGCACACTTCCTACTGGGGACGTGCCCACAACCAAGGTACATGTCCTTGATCGGAATCGAACCCGGGACTCTTGAGTCTGCAGGCCGATGCTCTATCCACTGACCCAAACGGGTTAGGGCATAGGATAGATATTATTATTAAAGTTGTTCCCATCTTACAGATGATAAAGTGAAGGCTCAGGGGACTCAGGACTAGTCCACATTACTGAGTGTCAGCGCCAGGTGTGAGATCCGACCTGCCTGCTCCAAGTTCAGTGCTCTTTCCTGCCATGCACCCCTCTCGGGAGCTGCATGCACCAAGCAAACCCCCGTGTCAGGGTCCGAGTGTGCAGTGAGCACATCCTGAGGGTGGGTGTGGACTCTGTAAAAGACTGGGTGGCCCTAGGTGGCCCCCCACAGCATAAGGCTCCACCCTGGACACCCTGCAGCCAGGGCCCCCCCCCCCCCCCAACCTGGCAGCCCGTGTCTGGGAGCAACACGCTGGGAGTTGCCTGGTGCAAGTCTCCCTTGCCGGGCGTGAGCCCCCGACCTGCTGAGCCGAGCCCCACTCTGCGGGGAAGGACCCACTTACCCGCGCGCCCCCGTGCGCAGGCGCCCAGTGAGCACTGTCCCCCAGTGAGCACTGTCCCAGGGCTACTTCCAACGGTTTGTGTCCAGCTGAGGGAGACCTTAGACGGAACACGGACGGACTTCTAACAGTTATGCATTTATTTCCATGTAGAATAGGAAAAACACAGAAACTAGCACATCAGCAGGTGACTGCGTGGATATATTGTTTAGCACAAGACTAAAGCTGGGAGTAAAAAATAAAAAAGTATGTTGATTTGAAGAGAATATTAAGGACAGGAGAGGATGCGAGGTCTTTGATCATGACCGTGAGGAGGAGGGGGTGTGTGCAGCCCTGGAGTCTGGGAGCCCCTCCTCCAGGCTGCATGCAGGAAGCTGGCTCAGCTCTGAAGCCCCCACGAGGCTCACAGACAAGTGCTAGGAGCCGGGGTGGCCTCACAGGAGCCTGTGGTGCATCCAGACCCCACGGAGCAAAGCACATCTTAACCTGCTCACGTCCTACAAAACGCCTCCGCGTTACAAAGCAACAGAAGTGATTGTCCCTAAAAGGGAAGCAGGATCTTCTGGGTGTGGCCTCGAAGAGGCAGCGGTCACAGGGCGGCCTGGAGGCAGGGTCCCAGTGGGACTTGGGGAGATAACCAAGGGGCTGCAGGGGCACCCCCGCCCGGCACTGTCCTGAGGAGCGTGGGTGTGTGGGGTGCGCAGCCCCAGTCAAGGCTGCAGGAGGGACACTCAGAGCGTCAGCTGCCTCACCCACAGGAGCCCCAGGCAGCAGGGTGGGGTGTGGCCAACGTCCTTGGGTGTCAGCACATGTCACCCTCTCCTCCTGCTCCTGTTCTAGTTCACGGCTGGGCCTGGGCCCCATGTCCCCCGGGTGTGTGGGGGGGAGTCCACAGCCATGCACCGCCGGGTCCCATCCTCGTACATTTATGAACAAATGGGAGACATTTCCTATTAAGATATAACACCTCCCCCCCCCCCAAAAAAATCCAAAGAATGTTTCCCATCATTTAAATTTTTTAAAAAGCGCTTTTTAAGGAACCTTAAGAGTTTTACTCACACCGCCAGCAGAGGGCGCCCTCGTGCGTCTCTTTTCTGCACCTGCCCCCTTCAGGGACATCTAAAGCGTCATTGCTGAGGGACCCAGGGTGCCGCCTGAAACTGGCCCCAACTCACTCCTGGAAACGGGGAGGCCAAGGCCGGCACACAAGAGCGACCAGAGCCTCGGACGTGAGTACCCGGGGCGATGCTCATGGTGTATTCGCCCTGCGCCCAGAGGATGGAAGGAAGAGTGACAGTCCGAGGGCCACCCTGTGCAGCCGCCCCCCGCCGAGCCAGGAGGAGGCGGGGCCGGGGCAGGCGGCTCAGCCCTGCGTCCCAGACGCGACGGGCCGGTCCCTGTAGGGGCTCGGGAGGAAACTGTGCAAGAGCAGGCCAGGAAGGGAAACTGAGTCGGGGAAGGGACCCCGACCCGGGCTAACAGTGGGTGCTCTCAGCAGCACCCCGCAGCGCTCCGCTTCACGTGGCACGGCTTGCAGAAGAGACGGTTGTTCAGCGGGTAGCAGCCTTGGTCCGTGGGCTCCACGGACAGGAGGATCCTGCAGTCCTGTGGGGACGAGAGACCGGCGGGTGGGCCCAGGCCGGAGGCGGCGGGGCCTCCCCAGAGAGGGCTCACCCCGCCCCTGCCCGGGAGATGCACTGAGTGACAGCCTCCCCCTTCCTGTCCCCCAGCACGCCTGGGCTGGGTCTCCGTCAGGGAGGACAAGGGGCTGTGAGGGATGGGAGCAGCATCAGTGGAGGCGACAGCTGAGGACACAGGGAGACGTCCCGTGAGGGGTTACGAAAAGAGCTGGAAGGGGCTTAGGCACTACCCAGCAGCCCTTTAGGATGTAACCTCTGCGAGGTAGTGATCCTACTTCCTGCTGGATCCCGCCCAGACCAGAGCCTGGCGCACCGAGCGCTCACCATAAACAGCTGCTGAGTGAGTGAGTACACCCAGTCCCGGCCTTCACCTCACAGGTGGGGAAACTGAGGCACAGGGAGGGTGGGGCTTGCCTCAGGCCCCAGACTCAGGGTCCAGAGGGCTTTTCACCATTCCACTTCCTGCACAGCTTCAGCACTGGCACACACGTTAAAATCCCAATTTTTGCCGAAACTGCTTTGGCTCAGTGGATAGAGCGTCGGCCTGCAGACTGAAAGGTCCTGGGTTCGATTCCGGTCAAGGGCATGTACGTTGGTTGTGGGCACATCCCCAGTAGGGGGTGTGCAGGAGGCAGCAGGTTGATGATTCTCTCTCATCGATGTTTCTAGCTCTATATCCCTCTCCCTTCCTCTCCGTAAAAAATCAGTAAAATATAATTTAAAAAATAAATAAAATCCCAATTTTTTAAATCACCAAAGGATGCCAGACCAGGAAGATGGGCGTTTGGAGCCCAGCCTGCTCAGTCCACCCCTCTCGTAAGCCCCGACCTCATCCGAGCTGCACCAGGGCACATGCTGGGGGCAATAATGGGGACGAGGAATGCCCGCGGCCTCGGTCAGGGCATGGCTGGCTTCCTCTGGAAGCTGCGTTATCAGTCGGTCTCCACAGAGACAACTTTGGGCACAGGGTGCCATTCGGACCCAGCAAGGCCAGCAGAGGGCGCCCTCGTGCGTCTCTTTTCTGCCACTGCACCTGGCGTCTCCCAAGGACTATTCAATGCCGGGAGCCTGGCTATTCCCGCCTGCCGCTGGCGTGGCATTCTGAGAGCATCAGTGCCAAAGGGGCACATGTGACCTCTTCTAAATTAGAATCCAGTGAGGAAACATCTCCTCTGGGACCGAGTCACCCGGCCCGGGAAGGAGCTGTGGGGCGGCAGACAGCGGGCTGGATTGGAACTTTTCTCAGCCTCCTAAATAGAGACAACAACTCCCATCTCGCAGGATCATCATAGTTGATTAAATAAGGCGATGTCCACAAAAACACTTTATGAATTAAAAAATATGAGCCAGCCGAAACCGGTTTGGCTCAGTGGATAGAGCGTCGGCCTGTGGACTAAAAGGTCCCAGGTTCGATTCCGGTCAAGGGCATGTACCGTGGTTGCGGGCATATCCCCAATAGGGGGTGTGCAAGAGGCAGCTGATCGATGACTCTCTCTCATCGATGTTTCTAACTCTGTCTCTCTCCCTTCCTCTCTGTACAAAATCAATAAAAATATATTTAAAAAAAATAAAATAAAAAATAAAGGAATGGGAACAGAGAAATCGCACCCCGGTCAGCTCCAGGTCGCCGTGGTCTGAGCCTTCCCATCGGAAACGCAACTGCTGGAGTCCACACTGATGTTCTGCAGCAGCCGGAACGCCCTGCAGCCTTGGCCACGCTGACCAAGGCCATGCAGGGAGGGACTATGTGCTCACTAACCAGGCGCTGGGAAATGTGAATCCGCCCTGGACCTTAGGAGGGCTGTGGGGGTGATAACAGCCCTCGACTTTCCTCATCCTTCCTTCAAGATGCGTTATCAGTGGGACTTTGGACTCTGAGCAGCAGAGACAACACGATGATGAAGCAACCTGTCAACTTCGGACCAAGCCCCCTTGGTGCACACACTCCGTGCACACAGCCTCTCGGTCCCACTATCTGCGTGAATCGGAATTTCTCGCTGGCTGAGAAGAGGTGTGCCCGGGAGCTCCCACTCAGGTGACACCCATAGAAGCTGCTACCGTTTTCGCCATTCCCCAGAGACGACAGACGTGGAGGTGACCGTGGGAGGTAGGGAGGACTCCTAGAGACTCCCAACAGGACGGACTAATCTGCAGGGCCCGGGGGAGGGGGATGAAAATTTACACCCGCGTTCAAACATGAAGACGTCACGATGGGAACGGCAGAGCTTCAGCGTTTCTGAGTGGGGGCACGTCTCACTGGGACGCCTGCACCAGCTTCTAGCCAGCCTTCCGCCTCAGCCCCCTCCCTGCCTGCAGCCCGAGACCCAGACTCCTCAGCCTGGAGTGCGGGTCCTGTCCTGCTCCCTGACCACACCTCCCACACGCAGCACGCCGGACGCAGCCCGGAACTTCCACTTGCTGGATCCTTCGGGCCTGTTCATGCCAAAGTGGGTGTCCACAGGCCTGGCCTCTTTCTGGGCGTCCTTTTCTCTGAATATCTGACAGACGCTTATCCCGCAAGACCCGCCGTATGCGGCACCTCTGCTGCCACCACCCTGGTTAGACTCCGTCGCTGCCTTTATAGTCCCTACTCTAATTTATTTATTTATGTGTGTTTAATTTTTTAATACATTTTTATTGATTTCAGAGAGGAAGGGAGAGGAAGAGATAGATAGAAACATCAATGATGAGAGAGAATCATTGATTGGCTGCCTCCTGCACAACCCCTAGTGGGGATCCAGCCCGCAACCCAGGAACCAAACTAGTGACCTTAGTTCATGGGTCAAAGCTCAACCACTGAGCAACACTGGTTGGGTTTTTATTGACTTTAGAGAGAGGGGATGGGAGATAGAGAGACAGAAACATTTGTGAGAGAGAAACATTAGTTGGCAGCCTCTTACGGGCCCCCTTTTGGGGATCAAGCCTGGAACCCGGGCAAGTGCCCTGACCAGGAATTGAACCTGTGACCTCTTGGTTCATGGGTCAAAACTCAACCACTGAGCCACCACAGGTGGGCCCATAGTTCCCTTTCTTGTGGAAAGCAGGTTTAGTTTCTAGCATTAATCCAAAGAGTTTTGATTAATAGACCCTATTTGTAACTACTTCCATTCCTTAAAAAAAGAAAGAAAAAAAATATATATTGATTGATTTCAGAGAGGAAGGAAGAGATGATGAGAGAGAATCATTCATTGGTCAGCTTCCTTCTCCACACCCCCTACTGGGGACTGAGCCCACAATCCAGGCTGGAATCAAACCGGGGACCCTTCAGTCCGCAGGCCAACACTCTACTCACTGAGCCAAACCACCTAGCGCTTATTTCCATCCTTATTTCTGCTATTGGGCAGGGGGCCATTGCCGAGCCGGACCCTGGCCTGTCCCAGCCCAGGGCCCAGGCGGTGGCGACCGGAACCCGCAGCATCATTCAGTCACTGCTCTGCTCACCTCGCACCTGTAGCAGTTCTCATGGAAGTTCCTTCCCATGCACTCGATCTTGAAGGCGTCCTTCCCGTCCCGGGGGATGATGGGATTCTCACAGATGCTGCACACAGGGGCGAATTTCCTGGAGGGAGAGCAGCCCACGCTGGGAGGAGCTTGCGCCAACCACAGAAATTAGCCGCCAGGACGGGGCTGGCTCTCACTCGGCTCCCGGTGCTATTTCAGACCTGCTGCTGCTATGTGACTGCACCTGGAGTGCAACCACAATGCCTATTTCTCCCGGCGGGAGCGGGAGGAGAGCCGTAATTAGACCGGCTTCCCAGGGGTGTAATTAGCCGAGGCAAGGAAGTGACTGCGAACGTCAGTCAGCGTTGGAGAAAGCAGACTACTCACGGGAGGTGGGGGTGTGGGTAGGGACGGGCGGGGGCCCATTTCATCTGTCTTGTATTATAGGACGCTACTTTTTCTTCTCTCCTTTCTTTCTTCTATTTGTTTATTTACTTATTTAATATATTTTATTGACTTTTTTACAGAGAGGAGAGTGATAGAGTCAGAAACATCGATTCAACTGCCTCCTGCACACCCTCTACTGGGGAATGGGCCCACAACCAAGGTACATGCCCTTGACCGGAATCGAACCTGGGACCCTTCAGTCCGCAGGTCTACGCTCCATTCACTGAGCCAAATTAATGTTATTATTGATTTCAGAGAGAATAGGGAGAGATAGAAACATCAATGATGAGAATCACTCATCAGTTGCCTCTTGCACGCCCCCTACTGGGGATGGAGCCCGCAGGCCCAGCATGTGCCCTGACCGGGAATCGAACCCTGACCTCCTGGTTTATAGATTGACACTCAACCACTGAGCCACGCCACTGGGGCTCGCCGCTGCTTCTTAGGGCTCCAGCTCTGAGGGAGGCGCTGTGACCTGGAGGTGGAGGGCAAGGCCCCAAATTCAGGTTGACAGGAGTTTGCTGCAGCTCCCATACTCCCCCGCTGGGAGGCCTTGGGCACTGCGGCGTGCCTCAGTTTCCACATGTGGTAAAAAGGAACCCTAATAGTACCTGCCCCACAGGAAGGGATGTAAGTGTACTTCATGGCCTGACTCAATTAAGCTTCCTTAATTTACTACTATATTAGTTTTGAGGATGAAACGGCCTAACCCAGTGGTCGGCAAACTGCGGCTCACCAGCCACACGCGGCTCTTTGGCCCCTTGAGTGTCCTAACGCCACTTTTTCAAAATAGACTCGCCCAGGCCGAAAACTGACTTCTGCGCATGGGCCACGAAGTCTCAATCGCACTGTATGTGAGCGCCAGCACGTGGTATTTTGTGGAAGATTTGGCTGCACTCAAGGGGCCAAAGAGCCGCATGTGGCTCGTGAGCCGCAGTTTGCCGACCCCTGGCCTAACCGGCACAGTGTAGGTGCTCAAAAAGGTAGCTGCTGCCCTGGCTGGTGTGGCTGAGTGAATAGAGCATCGGCCTGCGGACTGAAGGGTCCTGGGTTCGATTCCGGTCAGAGGATTGTGAGCTCTCTCCCCAGTGGGGGGTGTGCAGGAGGCAGCTCTCTCATCAATGATCTTTCTCTCTCTTTCCCTCTCCCTTCCGCTCTAAAGCCAATAAAAACATATTTTTATAAAAGGAAGCTGCAATCAGCCGAAACCGGTTTGGCTCAGTGGATAGAGCGTCGGCCTATGGACTGAAGGGTCCCGAGTTCGATTCCAGTCAGGGGCATGCACCTTGGTTGCGGGCACATCGCCAGTGGAGGGTGTGCAGGAGGCAGCTGATCGATGTTTCTCCCTCATCGATGTTTCTGGCTCTCTATCCCTCTCCCCTCCTCTCTGTAAAAAAATCAATAAAATATAAAAAATAAAAGGTAGCTGCTATCAGGTACCTGGCTAGATAGAGGGTGTGGACCAGGCAGACCCGGTTTCTGCAGGAAAACCCAGGACTCAGGCTCAGCTCTGCGGTTCTGCCCGAGTCCCACCCGGCCTTCCCTGCCCGCCCAGAGCCCCCTCGCACGCACCGATAGAAGTCGTCCAGGCAGTACACCTCGTTCTGGCCGTCCAGCGCGAAGTTCTCATCCCCGATGCACCGGGCACAGGCCACGCACGTGAAGCAGGCCGGGTGGAAGGCCCGGCCCAGGGCCCGGATGATGTGTTCGCGGACCACCTCGCCACACCTGCCGCACTTCTCCAGGGTGTCCTGGGGCAGAGGGCCCGTGCCTCAGAGCCATGCCACCCGCGTGCCCGCTGCACGCCACAGGGCTTCGCACCCGCTCTGAGGCTGTCCCAGGAGGACGGGGGTATGGGAGAGGAAGCTCAGATCCATGCGAGTGACCTCACTACTGCCCCACACCTCCACTGCTCCCCGAAATGGACCACGCCTGGCTTCCAGAGAGGAATCCTGCCACCAGGCGAGGGCTGCGGGTTTTGTTGTTAGGAAATGCCGAGGCCAGTGTCCGCGAGGACCCACAGGAGAAACTTCTCTTCAACCTCAGAGTCAGGGAGAGGAGTGCCGAGAGAAACGGGTGACAATGAACCTTGAAACACTTTCCCTTTTCCCTTTGGCCACCCGGAAGCTCAGTCAAATCCCATGCTCCACTTTTAGGAACAGCTGTCGGGGTCTTTTATGCATATATGCAGGTCACCAGGTGCTGCCAATTCAGGAGGACAAGGAAGGCCTCCGGATATCCAGGTGAGGTGTCTGTGCGTGGTGTGCACCCCACACCCCACCGCGGAGCCAGCAATTCCAATACCTTGGCTCCCAAACCAGCGCTCCCAGACTGTATCCGGTCTTTACATCTGCATCAGAACCCCATGGCTCTAGGTAAGAGCGGCAAGACCACAGGCGGGCCCCAGGACCAGATGGGCCTGGGGTAGAACCCCAGCTCCACCAGCGTCGGGAGTGTGACCCGGTGCGAGAGGTGAGTGACGACCCCAAAGACAGCCAGGTCTTCGCCCCGGAACCTGTGACTACCTCGAACAGCAATGTGACCGAGGTGAGGCCCCTGAGACAGGGAGAGCATCGGCGTCATCCAGATGGACCCCAAAAGCCATGAAGTCCCTGTGAGCGGAGCCCGAGGGAGATCTGACACAGGAAATAGGATACTGAAGGCAAGACGCCTCCCTGCTGACTTTGAAAGTGGACAAAGGAACCGAGGAATGCAAGGAATGCCGAGTTAGAGGAGGCTGGAAAGGGCCAGGAAATGGATTCTCCCCTAGAGTTTTGGGTGGGTGTGGGGGTAGAGCTCAACACTTTGGTTCTGACTCAGTAAAATGGGTTGTGGACTTCTGACCTCTGGAACGGTAGCAGGGTTATGTGTGTGCTGTTTGGCGTCACCAAGTCCGTGACAATGTGACATGAGTCACAGGAAAGGAATACGCCTCGGCTGAGCTCCTCCCCCCTCTCTGAGCCTCAGCTTCCTCATCTGTGAAATGCGTCAGTAGTGCCTACCGCCCAGGGTTGTTGTGAATGAAATATACACTGAGTGGCAGATTATTATGATCTCTGAATGCATAATAATCTGGCCACTCAGTGTGAGTGTGAGTGTGTGTGTGTGTGTGTGTGTGTGTACTAGTAGCCTGTGGCAGAAAGATTCCTGCAATAGGGCTTCCTGCTGTGGTCTCCCCACCCCGCCTGCTTGCTTCTCTGCAGCTTCACTCCCTTCTGCAGCGCCTGGCTTCTTTCTATGCTGTCTTGATAGGCAAATTAAGCACCATCTTGGGTGGGCTAATTTGCATACTTGCCCTGATTGGCTAGTGGGTGTGATTTGGGCATAGCGGATGTATGGTCAATTTGCATATTGCTATTGTATTAGGTAGGAGATATATATTAATTAGAGGCCTGGTACATGAATTCATGCATGGGTGGGGTCCAGCCGTCCTGGCCAGGGGAAGGGGACATGGGCAGTTGACCAGCCTGCCTGCTGGTCGAACTCCTGGTAGAGGGGACAATTTACATATTAGCCTTTTATTATATAGGATATACATTGAGCAACCAGAGATCATAGTAATCTAGCCACTCAGTGTAACATCTCCCAAGCACCCGGCTCAGTGCCTGGCACCTGGGGAGCTGCTGTGTGTGTGGCGGGGGGAGGCGGGGAGGAGGAGGTTGTTACCTGGTAGCAGGGTTCACAGAGGGGCCTCCCATCCTTCTGGTAGAAGCTCTGCCCAGCCAGTTGGCGGCGGCAGGTGCGGCACGTGAAGCACTGGGCGTGGTACTGCCTCTTCATGGCTTCCACAGCCAGCTCTCGGGGTGACACCGTCTTGTGGCAAAAGGCACAGACGTCTGGGGTAGGAGAGACACAGGCCATGACATGCCCAGCCTGGGGGCACTGTGCCCGGTCACCACCCAGCACATGCCCAGAGTGCCCGGTTTCTGCCTCCAGCCCCCGGGGGCCCTAGTGTGACCTGGTTTCCTGGGGAGGGTCATGAGGATCAACCGAAAGCAATATGGCCAAAATCAGTTTGGCTCAGTGGATAGAGCGTCGGCCTGCGGACTGAAAGGTCCCAGGTTCGATTCCAGTCAAGGGCATGTACCTTGGTTGTGGGCACGTCCCCAGTAGGGGGTGTGCAGGAGGCAACTGATCGATGTTTCTCTCTCATTGATGTTTCTAGCTCTCTCTCTCCCTTCCTCTCTGTAAAAAATCAATAAAATGTATTAAAAAAAAAAAAAGAAAGAAAGAAAGAAGGCAACATGAAGGGCCTTTGGAGAGAGATGCAGTGTCAGGACAGCTGGGTTACCATCGGCAAAAAAATGAATGTGTGGGGAGGCCTCCCTCAGGACACTTCACACCCAGATCATTCCAGATGTGCGGAGGAAGTGGAAAACGAGACCAAGAACATTAGAAGGAAAAAAGAGGAGAAGTGGTGCAGAACGTTGGTGTGGCGGAGGCCTTTTGGTACGCGGTAAGCACTGAACACTGTTTACCGAGTGAGCTCCACATGGTGCCGGAGAGCCTGCAGCACGCGGTCGTGCAGACCAGCCGGCGGAGCGTAGACCAGGCCGATCATGAAGGGCAATTTGACAAAAATATCCAAGTTACAAATGCACCCCCCGCTGGCCACAGAACTTTCTCTTCCAGGAATTGATTTCACAAACGTTCACACAGGCAAAATGACCCATGTGCAGGACGATGCATCTCGGCCTAATTTTTCACAGCAAGAAGCCACCTCGGCGCCTGCTCATTGGCAACTGGGCCAATGCACACAGTAGGGCCACACTGAGGAATACTATGCAGCTGAGAAAAAGAGCAAGGAGCTACGCTATGTTCTGATGTGGAACGAGCTCGAAGATGCCCGAAGGAAAGAACGTGCGGAGCAGCGTGGAGTTTGCTCCCCTTTGTGGGAAAACTGGGGGGGCGGGAGCGGGGAGAGGAGTGGAAACACATCTGTGTTTGCTCACAGACACAGAAAAGACAGCTGGGAGACGATGTTAACCGCAGAGGCTGTCGGGAAGGAAACAGGGCGATGCGGGGATGGGGCCGAGGGAAGAGTGCATCGTGTCCCCTTGGTGCTTTCTACAATATTTTGTCCGAGGGGAGGGTGCTCCGTCCGCAAACGATTAAAGAGTGAAAAAAATTCAAGGTGTTTCTGCTCTCGGAGCAAATCTGGTGATCCATGCTAAGCAGGTTTTAGTGCTAAAGGAGAATCAGTTCAGGCAATAAAAAAACTAAGGCCCTCAGTGAACCGTGAGCTGGGGAAGACACCCGTGGTCCCTGCTGTCCTAGTTCCCACATGGAAGCCCAGGCCAGCCCCTGAGGGCCCTCCAGAGCCCCCCAGCCCTGTGCCCTCACCGGTGGACGCCTCTCTCTCCGGGAAGCCTACCGGCTCCTCTGGGGGCGGCGGCAGCTCCTCCTGGGCGGGCCTGAGTCGACTGGGCCCGGGCTGGGACGGAGGCCCCTCTGCCAGGGTCTGTGGGGACACAGGGGGTCGGGGGTCGGAGAGAAGTCACCCAGGGGGGACCCCACACGCCCTCTCAGTTTCGCTCCTGATCTGGTGGCTCCCGGCACCAGGAGCCCCATGGCGCAGAGGAGGAAGCCGAGGCCCAGAGGAGCTGTGACCCTGCTCAGGCCGCTCAGCAGGAGGCTGCAGTGGCGGCAGGAGCCCAGGGCCCCTGACCAGTGAAGCCACTTCCTTCTCCTCCTAAAGAAGCTCCTGGAAGCAGGGTTTTCCTTGCCTGGAGCCCCCCCCCAGTTCTGTTAAAGGCGGAGGATTGAAAACGGGTTTCAGCCGGGACCGGTTTAGCTCAATGGATAGAGCGTCGGCTTGGGGACTGAAGGGACCCGGGTTCGATTCCGGTCGAGGGCATGTACCTTGGTTGCGGGCATATCCCCAGTAGGGGGTGTGCAAGAGGCTACTGATCGATGACTCTCTCTCATCGATGTTTCTAACTCTCTATCTCTCTTCCTCTCTGTACAAAATCAATAAAATATATTTAAAAAAAGAAAAAAAAAGAAAAAAAGAAAACGGGTTTCACCTGGAACGGAGTGCGGAGCCTCAGGGAGGCGGGCAGGGAGGAAGGTGATCAAAGGCCTGGGTGCACATGTGCCCGGCCCACGGACAGACAGCAGGTGCTGAAGGCCAGGGGTACGGGAGCGGGCTGGAGGGGTCAACGGGCGGGGGACACATATGTAATACTTTCAACAATAAAGAATTATACAAAAAATGGCCGAAACCGGTTTGGCTCAATGGTTAGAGCTTTGGCTTGGGGACTGAAGGGACCCAGGTTCGATTCCGGTCAAGGGCATGTACCTTGGTTGTGGGCATATCCCCAGTAGGGGGTGTGCAAGAGGCAGCTGATCAATGACTCTCTCTCATCTATGTTTCTAACTCTCTATCTCTCTCCCTTCCTCTCTGTACAAAATCAATAAAATATATTAAAAAAAAAAAAAAAGAATTATACAAAAAATGAAAGTGGGCTTCAGCCCAGCCAGGTGTGGCTCAGTGGTGAGCATCCACCCAGGAATCAGGTCACCAGTTCGATTCCCAGTTGGGGCGTATGCCTAGGTTGTAGGCTCAGTCCCCAGTGGGGGTGTGCAGGAGGCAGCCAATCAATGACTATCACTCCTCATTGATGTTTCTACCTCACTCCTCCCTTCCTCTCTGAAATTATTCATATATATATATATATATATATATATATATATATATATATTTAATTATTTTTTAATATATATATATTTATTTCTTACAGAGAGGAAGGGAAAGGGATAGAGAATTAGAAACATCTGTGAGAAAAACATCGACCAGTTGCCCCCTGCACACCCCCTACTGGGAATGTGCCCGCAACCAAGGTACATGCCCTTGACCGGAATCGAACCTGGGACCTTTCAGTCTGAGGATCGACACTCTATCCACTGAGCCAAACCGGTTTCGGCATATATATATATATATATATTAAATGGGCTTCATATCTAGCATAAGAGATGATGTGGGTTAGACCCAGGGGAACGTCTCAGAGCTGAGGGGGGGCTGGAGGGGAAAAGGGGTGCACAGTCAATTTTACAGCCTCAAACAGAACGGACCCATCTCCAGGCTTAAAAGCCCTAAGGGCCCAGAAAGCGCAGACCCTCCCTCCCTGGCCGAGGGCTCCGCCGGCGATCAGGGGTTGGCCTACCTGGCGATCAGGGGTTGGCCTACCTGTGCTGGGGGTGGTGGTGGGGGCAGGTGTAGCTGCTCGAAGTCAGAGATGAGCTCAGCCCCCGGGGCTGGCGGCTGCTCGTCAGGGGGCGGCGGGTATGCTGGTGGGGGCGGCGGCGGCGGGAGCAGGTCCAGGTCCGGGAGAGCATCCTCACCGTCGCGGGGAGGAGGCGGGAGAGAGCGGCCTGCAAGTGAAGGGGGAGTCTTACAGCGTGCAGGCTGAGGGCGTGCAGGCTGAGGGCTCAGGTCAGGGCACCCTGGCCTGGGGGCGTGCAGGCTGAGGGCTCAGGTCCAGGGGCACGTGGCCTGGGGGCGTGCAGGCTGAGGGCTCAGGTCCAGGGGCACGTGGCCTGGGGGCGTGCAGGCTGAGGGCTCAGGTCCAGGCACCCCGGCCTGGGGGCGTGCAGGCTGAGGGCTCAGGTCCAGGCACCCTGGCCTGGGGGCGTGCAGGCTGAGGGCTCAGGTCCAGGGGCACGCGGCCTGGGGGCGTGCAGGCTGAGGGCTCAGGTCCAGGGCACCGTGGCCTGGGGTCCATCTCTGACTCTGCCACTGGCTGGATGCGATGGGTCCTCCGGCAGAAGACATAATAATAGTCTCTCCGGGTCTCCGTTTGCTCAGCTGGGAAATGGGTATCAGCTGCCCAGGTGGTTATGAAAACGATGAGCTGATGCAGGCAAGGGCTTGGCACGTGGCACAGGCTGAGAACAGCAGCTGTCAACGCAGCCTCCCCCCGCAACCTGGGTGCGAGTGTGGCCCAAATCGCTGTGAGAAGGCCCTTGTGGGGATACAAGCAACACCAGCCCCGAAGGCTGTGGTTCTCACACTGGCTCCTGGACCAGCAGCACCTGGGGCAGCGAGGCTCACACCCACACTGTAGCTTCCCTCCTGACCCCCCAGTGGTGGTGGTGGTGGGGGGGACTCAGAGAAAAAAGAAGAGAGCTTTAGAATTAAGAGACTTTAGAGGAAAGGACCACATATAGTGTGTACACTTATCCTGTCCTATAAGGTTACCTCCAGCCACAGGTGGCGATGGGCTGAGGGACTCAGGACAGAATGTAAACTACCTCATCATCACCTTCACGATGATCCCAAGCTAAAATGACAATCTTTGTATATTGAGTTGCATAACATCTATTATGAAAAGTAATATTACTTAATTCTTTTACTTTTTTTTCCAACATGGATCCTAGAAAAATTTAAATTACATCCGATGCTTACATTTGTAATTCACAATATATTAGTCTATATATTTTAAAAAATATTTTGATTTAAAAAAATTTAAAGAGAAAGAAAAAAATATTTTTATTGATTTCACAGAGGAAAGAAGAGGGAGAGATGGAAACATCAATGATGAGAGAGAATTATTGATCGGCTGCCTCCTGCGCGCCCTCCACTGGGGAGTGAACCCACAACCAGGGCATGCGCCCCGACGGAATGAAACCGTGACCTCCAGGTTCACAGGTCGAAGCTCATCCCCTGAGCCACGCCGGCCGGGAACACGTTATTTTTACGGGACAGTATTTGTACAGACCTTGTTGGGTCCTGGTTCAAAGCATGAACTCTCCTTTAATTCTCATTTTGCAGGCGAGGGGAAGCTAAAAATCCCACTACATGATACAGCTCAAAAGACCCCGTGTAACGCCTTCATTCCACTACAGTCCCACAGCGAAAGGGCATTTTATGACAATCCGGGCAAATTAATGATGGATGGTGCACTAGGTAATCAGAGGCCTTCTCACCGATTTTGTTTGGGTTTGTGATTATGATTTTTTTTTTTTTTTTTAAAGGCCACATTCAGAGATGCATCCTGGAGTGGGGGCTGAAATGACCTGGTGACTGGAGTTTCCTCTAAAACACTTCAGAAAAGGAAAGAAAGGGATCGATATGGCAAAGTCGCCGAAACCGGTTTGGCTCAGTGGATAGAGTGTCGGCCTGCGGACTGAAAGGTCCCAGGTTCGATTCCTGTCAGGGGCATGTACCTTGGTTGTGGGCACATCCCCAGTGGAGGGTGTGTAAGAGGCAGCTGATCAATGATTCCCTCTCATCGATGTTTCTAACTCTCTATCCCTCTCTCTTCCTCTCTGTAAAAAATCAATTAAAAAAAAAAAAAAGTGGCAAAGTCTTAGCACTTGTTGAAACAGGACGTGGAGTGCACAGGGTTCCTTGTACTGCTCTCTCCACCTCTGTGCGTGTTTGAAAGTCTCATTAAACACACACGCACACCCTAACCAACAGCAAACACACGGACACACGGGACAGGAGTGGCATGGGGGCGTGGTCCTCAGCCCATGGCACAGCCTTTCCCGGGCTCCTGGCTGGGAGGGAGGAGGGGCTGGCAGATCACGGAACTCCCGTCTCAGCCCCAGGCCCTCCCGATCCAGCAGTGTCGACTCCCAGGAACTCCCACCCTCCAAGCCACCCTGAAGAGGGGACTGGGCCAGGAGGGAAGCTTGGTGTGGGGCTGCTGGACATGCCCACGAAGATCCTGCCACTGCCCTACAGAGTGAGAACTAGGAAGTGTCGCGGCCCTTACAGTGCGGCTCAGCCGATCAGAGCATCATCCATCTCACACACCGAAAAGTGGCAGGTTCAATTCGGGCTCAGGGCACACACCCAGGCTGCTGTTCAATCCCCAGTCGGGGTGCAAAGGGTGCAAAGGCAACCGATCCATCTCTCTCTCTCTCTCTCTGTCTGTCTCTCTTCTTTTCTCAAAAAAAAAAAAAAAAAAAAAAAGTGGCCCTAGCTGGTTTGGCTCAGTGGATAGAACATTGGCCTGCAGACTGAAGGGTCCCGGCTTTGATTCTGGCCAAGGGCATATGCCTGGGTTGTGGCTTGATCCCCAATGGAGATGTGTAGGAAGCAGCTGATCAATGATTCTCTCTCATCATTGATGTTTCTCTCTCCCCCTTCCTCTCCGAAATCAATAAAAATATTTTTTAATGATCCGTGGTTGGCAAACTGCAGCTCTGGAGCCACATGTGTATCGCAAGCCGCGGTTTGCTGCTCTGTTGACTAATGAGTTTGCCAACCACTGTCCTATACTACCCTTTACCTCTTTGCACATAATAAGCCACAATTGCCTAATCCTCACAGCTTCCAACCACACGGTAACATTCAGTCTAGTCCAATGGTTGGCAAACTCATTAGTCAACAGAGCAGTAAACCGCAGCTCGAGAGCCGCATGTGGCTCCTGGGCCACAGTTTGCTGACCACTGCCCGAGCTGGTTTGGCTCAGTGGATAGAGCATCGGCCTGCAGACTGAAGCATCCTGGGTTCCATTCCAGTTAAGGGCACATGGCCATGTTGTGCGCTTGACCCCCCAGTAGGGGGCGTGCAGGAGGCAGCTGATCAATTATTCTCATCATTGATGTTTCTCTTGCTCTCCCTCTCTGAAATCAATAAAAAATATATATTAAAAAAAGTCCTGGGAGAAGAGACTCGGGGGCACTCCACCCACTTCCCGAGGCACAAGGTAGGCCAGCCCCAGCGAGGCGTGCGGCCCTGTGCCCTGCCTGAGACACTCATGGAAAAGAAGGAAAGCACCCAGAGCGCTGCCTGCCCGTAAAGACCTGGGTTTGGGCCATTCTCTGCCGATTCACTGGCTCTCCTCCCCTCCCTGCTCCAGGTTTCCATCCACTGGATGTAGATAACGAAGCCCTCTCCTTTGTCCCAAGGGCTGAGGGGACTGGACAGACGGGAAGCTTGTTCCAGCCCTGTGAGCACCCTGCTACAGACTCAGGGGGGCCTGTTCCACTGCGGGGGGCTGGGTGTCACTCCAGAGCTCCTGACCCAGCAGGTGAGGGGTCCGCTCCCAGAATTCACATCCTGCAGAGCTCCCCAGGTTGCCGGTTCAGAGGCCACACTCAGATCTGCTCTTCTAGCCCCCACATCTCACCTGCTTCAAGTGCGGCCCCTGAGCGGAGCTCAGCGTTACCTGGAAACGCGTCAGAAACGTAAATTCCTGGGCCCCACGGCAGACCTGCTGAGTCAGAGACACCCACCTGCTGAGTCAGAGCCACCTGGGTGGGGCCCGGCAGCTGCTGGAACAGGCCCCGGAGAGGCTGAGGTTGCTAAAGTGTGAGAGCCTTGAGCGGGCCTGACGTGAGCTGACCCGAGGTGAGTCAGCAGCAGGAGCTGGATGGGAGACCCAGCAGGAATGCCGAAGCCCCTCCCAGGACCTGCCTCAGGGTCCAGACAACAGGCCAGGAAGTGGACAGTCCTGGCGGGGCAGGAATGCAGGAGAGGCCCCGAGGCCCAGCGCAGGAGGGCAGGAAGGGGACAGAGCGCAGGAGGAGGGGCAGCAGCCTTCCTAAGAGAAGCCCAGAGGGAAACGGACTCAGGAATAGGAGTCTGAGGAGGGGAGGAAGGAGGGAGGGTGGGGCTTGTCAGGATGAAAGGCCTGCAGAAATGCGGGCGGATTCCTTCGGGGACACCAGATGACTGCCTCTGTGGACGTGGCTGGAAGCAGCTCGCAGCCATAGTCAGACCCGACTCATGACCAAGCTGCTCCCTTAGAACTTCCCTCACACCTGCCAGGCTGAACTCCAAGGCCACCCAACCAGCAAACACGGTGGCTGAGCAGTCCCTGGGAACCACCCTCCCCCCACCCAGCACCCCCCTTCCCCCTCCCCCGCTACCAACTCCTCCCTTCCTGGGGAAGGCCTGGTTTTGTTGTCACACTCCTGGGATCTTCTCCCTGTAATCCCCATAACCCATGGGAATGTTCAGGAAAATGTGGCATCTAAGGGATATTTCTGTCTTTCTTAATCCTCACCCGAGAATATCTTCCCACCGATTTTTTAGAGAGAGTGGAAGGGAGGGGGAGAGACAGAGAGAAACATTGATGTGAGAGAGACACATCGAGCAGTGGCTTCCCACACGTGCCCTGACCAGGGCTGGGGATCGAGCCTGCGAGCAAGGTGCGTGCCCTTGACTGGAATCAAACCCAGGACCCTTCAGTCTGCAGGCCAACACTCTATAAATTATATTTCTTTTTTTTATATATATATATTTTATTGATTTTTTACAGAGAGGAATGTTAGAGAGAGAGAGATATTATAGTTAGAAACATCGATGAGAGAGAAACATCGACCAGTCGCCCCCTGCACACCCCCCACTGGGGATGTGCCCGCAACCAAGGTACATGCCCTTGACGGAATCGAACCTGGGACCTTTCAGTCCACAGACCGATGCTCTATCCACTGAGCCAAACTGGTTTCGGCTAAATTATATTTCTTGAGCTCCCGCTCCTACCCATAAGGGATATATATATATATTTTCCCCATTGGATCACATGTCCTGATGCGTGCATCTGGGTCACCAAGGTCCTGGTTCTGCTAATAGGAGACCAAGGCTGTTGCCGGGACCTGTTTGGCTCAATGGATAGAGCGTCGGCTTGGGGACTGAAGGGCTCCGGGTTCGATTCCGGTCAAGGGCATGTACCTTGGTTGCGGGCATATCCCCAGTGGGGGGTGTGCAAGAGGCAGCTGATCGATGACTCTCTCTCATTGATGTTTCGAACTCTCTATCTCTCTCCCTTCCTCTCTGTACAAAAATCAATAAAATATATTAAAAAAAAAAAAAAAAAAAAAAGAGACCAAGACTGTGTGGTTGGGATGGGAAGATCAGTGCAGGAGGCTGCATCCCAGTGAAGACACATGCTACATGGATGTCCACGTACTCCCATGTGTGTGTTCGTGTGGCCCCTTCTCTTGCCCTTTTCTGGCATCCTGTAATTGGCACTTCCTATTGGTCTCTGCGTGGTTTCCATGGTGATGGCTGCCCAGGATGCCTGGCTAGGCACTGGGGGATCCTGAGGGGCTCAGCTGCCCCCCTGGGAAATGGAAATGACTCCTCCTTGTTCCAACTGGTGCCCTGACCGCGAAGGAGCCGCCCCCCTGCCTGGGCCCCGGCTTGTCATCCTTCATTGCTGCTGCCAGGGCAGCTCAGACCGGGCACGGGGGAAAAAGACGGTCATTTACCAAGCACCCGCTCTGCGATGGATGCGTCACACACACGACCACGTTTTCATTTTCCAGAGAAGGACACCAAGCGGGGAGACAGCTTGTCTAAGATCACGCAGCAGGAGAACAGCAGAGCCCTACCCGGTTTGGCTCAGTGGATAGAGCGTCGGCCTGTGAATTCAAGAGTCCCAGGTTCGATTCCGGTCAAGGGCATGCACCTTGGTTGTGGGCACATCCCCAGTAGTGGGTGTGTAGAAGGCAGCTGATGGATGTTTCTCTCTCATCGATATTTCTAACTCTCTATCTCACTCCCTTCCTCTCTGTAAAAAATCAATAAAATATATTTAGAGAGAGATAGAGGGAGAACAGCAGAGGCCCAGAGAACATCCTCACCTTTCAGATCCTTCTGCCTGAATACCACCTCCTTGAAGACTCCATTCTGACCGCCCCGTAAAAAACTACACCTCCTCACCTCTTCACGCGTTTTATTCCTTTATAGCACTTGCGTTTTTATGATCCGTGTTCCCCACTAGGACATAAAGAGTTTCATGCCCGCTGACAGCTCGGTCTCTTTATTCATGTCCCCAAGTGTCTGGCCCAGAATAGTAACAACAGCTAACGCTCTTTTAGTATCTGACACTTACTCTGTGACAGGTGATGGGCTAAACGTATGTATCAGCTCAGCTAGTCCTCACAAGCCTGTGAGGGCGGTGCGGTCACATCCCTGTTTCACAGGCAGGGAGCTGGGGAAGAGAGATTCAGTGGCTTGCTGACTTCACATCCCAAGCATTGGAGGAGCCAGGATTCAAACCCAGGCAGATGGTTTCAGAGTCTGCCTGGCACATAGTAGGTGCTCGATGAATGAATGAATGAATGAACGATCAATCTCAGAGCCTGCCCTCTCCCCCACGTCAGTGCACCTGTGACCGGGTCCCCTCCCGCCCAGCCTCCGGTCTTACCTCCATTGGACAGCGGAGCGGGGGCAGCTGGCACTGAGGCGGCGGCCCTGCCGGCCGGTGTCCAGGGGCCAGGCCTCCCCGCCGGGCCGGCTCCGGGGGCCTTCGTGGCGGCAGGCAGCTCCCAGGGGCGGCTGGGCCGGGCCTCGCAGGCTGCCCGCCTCACGTCCTCAGCCACGGCCTCACCGCGACGTGGGGGGGCCAGGGTGATGAAGACGGACGAGGCGACCCGCTTCTCAGGCTGGGAGGCCATCGCCTCGCTCCGGGGGCAGGGCTGGGGGGAAGCGGAACGTGGGCTCAGGGCACAGGCACCTCCACCTGGACACAGACCCCTCCCTGGGGCCTTCCTCCCCCAGCAAGATGGCCGGCCACCCCAGCGCACCAGGCAGCCCCAGCACCAGGCAGCCCAGCCGGCTAAGGAGGGGCCGGGATGTCCTTGGGGGAGGGCTGGCGTTCACCAGGTGACTCGGCTACAGGGTGGGACCCAACAGTCTCCACTGCCCCTCCCCCGAACCCACACATCTGGGGGGCAAAGGGCAGCCCTGCCCTTCTCACTCAGGATGACTCATTTTCCTCCAATGAGACAGCAGCTCCTCAGGCTGACTGCCTCCCGGCCCCGGGCCACCCCCCAGGTTACCGCCCTCCCCGGGGGTCCCCAAGGCCCAGGCCAGCTCCTCTGGGGAGGGAGCCAGCCTGACCCGCTCAGAGCGTCAGGGCTGGTCCCCAGAGGGCAGGGACAGGACCATCAGACCGAGACCCACTCTGTGCCTTAAGCGCTTCCGCCCATTCACTCATCAATCCCCCCAGCTGCTGGGGGAGGGGCACTGCTGGAGCCCCACCTTACGGGGGAGGAGCCCTGCCTTCCACCAGGAGGTGAAGAGTCACCTGTTCAGGGACTGCAGCGGCAGAACCTGGACTTGAACCCAGAGCCCATGTTCTTGGCCACTTGGCTCCGCTGCCCTCTCCGGCCCAACCCACAAGCCAGCACCCTCTTCCCCACCTGCAGCCCCCGTATTGGGTCAAAGCCTGATTCTGCCGCTGGACTCACAGCGCCCTGCCCCACTCCCAACACGGCAGGTGCCCCTGGAGTAACCTCTCCAGCGTCTGAGGCCGTTTCTCCTCCACCCAAAAGCCTTCCTTGGCTCCCTGCCACCTTGGAGACAAAGCCCCTGATCCTCCTGACCTCAACTTCTTTTTGACCACCAGGACCACTCCCTCTTCCTCGACTCGCTCCTTCCTCGCCTGGCAGTGTGTCCCCGCCACAAGGTGATTCCCGCTTTCCTTAGAGGCCCCGCTCAAACCTCCCCTCCCCGGGGCAGCTGTCTGCTCCCACAGGGCCCACAGCCCATCACCGGCCGCTGGCTCCGTCCCCACGCCCGTCCCGCCCCGTCCCTACGTGACCGCAGTGCCATCAGCCAAGTCCGCGCCCGGCATACGCACCAAAGCACAAACCTGGGACCTGGGAGCAGGCGGCACCCGACCGGGGGAGCCCGCGTTTCATTTCTCAGGGGGTTTCTGCAGACAGTGGCCTCCGGGGCCAGGGCTGAGCTGAGGCCCTAGGCTGGCAAATCAACCACTCAGCTCTGGGGCTGCACTTGGCACCGTGGGCGAACGTGCCCTTTCTCTCTCTCTCTCTCTCTCTCTCTCTCTCTCTCTCTCTCTCTCTCTCCAGCTGGGTCACCCTGACAAGGCCTCAAAGCCCAGCCCACAGGTTCGTGGGGAGGAGAGAAAACGGGGACCCAGAGAGCAAACTTCGAGAAGAGAAGTGGGAAGTGGGGCTGGGTGGGCAGGGCATGGGCATCAAGGGTCCCTAATGACGGCCTCGGAGCCCAAGTGGCCACCCAAAGGCCTCCCTCAGCATAAATCCAGCTGGTCACTGTGGGCCATCCTGGCGCCTGACGTAACGAAAACAACACCGTATGCTCCCAAATTCCTCTAAACTGGTTTACGTGTTTAGTTAAAATGTATCGATCAGCCTGATAATAACACATCTGTCCCAAAAAGTAAGCCAGCACTTGAAGAAACCTTATAACGTTCTTTCAAGTGCCTCTATTTTGCTTCTTGCTCTGTATGGGCTGCTGGGGAGTGTATACGCTTATAGTGGCTGTCAGGGTCTTTGCTTTTATACTTTTCTACAAACGCACTATCTATGTTTATAAACAACTTCCAGAGGGCATCTGAGATTTCCACCCAACAAGGGCGCCGGCGGATAAAGCGCCCGCTGTGTGCGGCCCCTGTGCCCAGTGCCCTCTGTGCCTCAACTCACCCAGTTCTCACACATCCATCCCGTCTGTCCGTCCGCCCCCCGCTGTACAGATGGGCCGGCGAGGCCCGGGAGGGTGAGTGACCTTCCCAAGCACCAGGGGCAGACTCAGAATTCCAACAGCCCACCCTCCAACGTGAGTCCTTGGGCCTGACACGCCCTTTTCTTTCCCGGACCTCACGGGGCCCCCAAACTCTCGGGCCCGTTCTCACCCCAGAATGGCCCAACCCGGACCAATTGTCTTGAGGCCAGTGCCTTCTGGGCTGTCCCGGAGCCCGCTGAGGCCTCCCTCTGCCTCCTTCCCACCCTCCTCTGACCCCCACTCCGTCCCAGGAAGCTGGATCTGCTGGTTTCTCAGAAATCATCTAAGGCTTACGTCCTCCGAGGCCAGATGTTCACAGCTGGGCACCCCCCCCCCCACACACACACACACACTCTGCGGTTTCTGTAGGGACTCCAGGCCCCAGGGGAGGGGGCCCAGCTGGGGAATTTCAAAGCCAGGGCAACGGGGCCAGCCAGGCCCCAGAAGAAGGCTCCCTCTGCTCCAGTCCCTCGGCCCCCAGCTCGCCCTTGGCGGGGCGGGGGAGGGGCAGGGGGGGTACCTGTGTGAAAGCTCCCTGTGGGCAGCGTCCCAGCCAGCTGCCCCGAGACCCTCCACCCCACCCTCCCTCTGGGCAGAGATCCAGTTGGGTAAGCGGAGAAAGTGGGAACAAAGGGAAGGAAAGTCATTTCCTGTCAAGAGGAAGGAAGGAGGCTGAGATCCAGCCAGCCAGCCTCCCAGCCGGGGCGAGGCTGCAGCCCGGGGCGGGGCCGCCAGGGGGGGCAGGGCCTCCAGGTAGTGCCCCCTCCGGTGTCCTCCTGCGAAACCCCCTCCCCAAACTCCGGAACCCCCTCTGAGCTTTGTTCTGCGCTTGGTTCAGCTGGCGGTGGGGAGGCACGGCACCCCTCAGCCCTGCAGGGGTCCCAGCAGCCTGGATAGGGGTCCCCCTCCCTCCATCCCTCCCACCCCAAGAAAGGGGAGGACGCACCCAGCGCTGGGCTCACCAGGGCCCCCCTCCTTCCTGCTGGGTGACGCTGAGCAGGTCACCGAACCTCTCTGGGCCCGGGTTTCCCATAAAGTGGGACTAATGAGTGAGGTGTGCCCTAACGGGTGGCCGGCCGAGTGGGTAAGAGGGAGGGCGCTCCAGACCCGGGTCCCCGGTCCTGAGGGCCAGAAGGACGGCTGGCTATTCAGCCGGGAGGGGGAGGGCCCTGGGGGCTGGGCTCCTGTTGGGGGTGGGGGGACCAGGACTGAGCTCCCAGTTTAAGGAGAACCGGGATCCAGGCGCTGCCCAGCTCTTCCCGGGCCCTCGCGTCCGGGCTGGGGGGGGGGGGGGGCGACCCAGGCCCACATGCACACGCCTTGGGGGCCCCGGGATCGCCCCTTCCCTGCCTGGGGCGGGGGGGCGAGGACCAAGGCCCCGGGAGGGGCAGCCCGCGCCCTCCCTCCCCCCCCCCCCGCCCGGCGGCCCGGAGCCCGGACCCCGACGCCGTCCCGCGGGCGCCGGGCGGGCAGCGGGCACCGGCGCTCTAACCTCTAAGGCTCCATGTGCGGGACGGGCGCTCCTTTGTGCGGAGCTTCCGCCGCCCCCGCCGCCGGCCCGGCTCCCGCGGGGCACAGCCCTCCCCGCCGGGAGGTGACCGAGGGCCGGGAGGGAGGGACAGCCCCCCCCCGCCCGCAGGCCCCCAGGAGCGGGGCCGGGGTCCCGGCGGGGGCGGGGTGCGCCCCGGCCGGGCTGCCGCTGTCACCGGGGCGCAGCGGGGAGGACGGCGGGCGGGACCCCCAGCCCCGCCCGGCTTACCTGGGCAGCCGCGTCCGTCCTGCCGGCTCCGATCCGACCCGAGGCCAGAGCCGCCGCCGGGCCTCCCGCCCTCAGCCCTCCCCGCCCCCCGGCTCCCTCCGCCCCGGCCCGGCCGCCTGACCATAAAAGGTGAGGCTTGGGGGCGGGGGCCGGGGCGCCCGCAGGGCGGAAGCAGCCCCCCACCTGCCCCCCCACCTGGCTGGCCTCGCCCCGCGCCGCCCTCTCCCCTTCCCTTTGTTCCCGGACCCCTCCTCCTTCCCCGGGGCCCAGGCCTGGAGGGGGCGGGGGCTCCCCCTTCTGCCCACCCCGTGTCCCGTGTGCACCCCGAGTGGTCTCTCCCCTCCCCTTCCTCCTCCCCCTCCCTAGATCCCTTGGGCCGGTGGCCCTACCTGCCCAGTGAGGTGGAGGGGTGCTTACACCCCGGGGTGGCCTGGGCGGTCACCCCATCTTCCTGAGCCTCAGTTTCTTTGTCTGTAAAGCCGGGGTACGGCTGCCTGTCTCTCAGGGTCAGGCTGAGGACCAAGGTGCCCATGGCAGTGAGGAGAGCACAGAGGGGGCACTCTATGCTGGGGGCGTGCGTGGGGGCCTGGGCTTCTTTACAGGGTGCCCTGGGGTGGGCACCACCTGTCTGGATCCTTCAGCAGGTGGGCCCCAATGCCCCCGGGGGCAGGCCCCTCCAGGAGGCCCGGCAGGCAGGGCCCAGTTGGCACGGCATCCCCTCCCGCCTCCCGCACGCCTCCCCCCAGACCGGAGCGGGCAGATAATGCAGCGGGAAGGGAAGCTGAGCCCGGCCCTGAGGCCGGAGATGGAGCCGGGATGGGCTGCCTGGGTCCCTGGAGGCCCCGGGAGCTTTGCTGGGAAAGGGGATCTGGGTCTGATTCAGAGGCAAAGAGATTGTTCTTTTGATTACAGCCGCAGCGGCTGGGGCCAGCGCGCCGGACCCAGCGCCATCTGGGGGGAGGCCAGGCGGGGCTGGCTCTCCTGGGCGGCCTGGGGCTCCAGCACCTGGCCCTGGGGGCTCGGGGGCTGCTCCTGAGGGGCTCCCGCTCACAGGGGATGGAAAGGGGGTGCCTATAACACTGTCCCATGCTCTCCACTCCCTAAACCCCTCACCTGCTTTCTGTCATCCTTTTTTTCATTTGATCTTCCCAGCTGAGACCGAAGGTCCCTATGACTTGGATAAGGTGACCAGACGTCCCGCTTTTGGCGGGACAGTCCCGATCTTTAACCATTTGTCCCACATCCCTCGACGTTTTAAAAAAGTCCCGATTAAAAAAAAAAAAAGTTTTTTAAAACGCCGAGGGATGTGGGACAAATCGTTAAAGATCGGGACATCTGGTCACCTTACACTTGGATGACATTTAGCTTTAAGCCCTAGCTCTACAAATCTCACGGGGCTCAGAGACCTAGCCCCCCTTCCTCACCCCCTCACAACCAGCCACCCTCCCCCCCCAGCCGGGACCTGACTGACGCTCACACGGCCAGGACACAGGCAAACGTTACGTTTCACCTTGACCTGCGTTATGTCCCAGCTCCTGAGCCCTCGGGGGACCAACCCCTCCAGCCACTTTCCCACAGAGAAACACAGAGAAAGATCTGGGAACTGTCCTCAAGACCTGAAGGGCCGAAACTGGTTTGGCTCAGTGGATAGAGCCTGCGTACTGAAAGGTCCCAGGTTCGATTCCGATCAAGGGCATGTACCTTGGTTGCGGGCACATCCCCATTGTGGGGTGTGCAAGAGGCAGCTGATCGATGATTCTCTCTCATCAATGTTTTTAACTCTATCCCTCTCTCTTCCTCCTTGTAAAAAATCAATAAAATATATTTTTTAAAAAAATAAGACCTGAAGGAACCCTGCTCTCACTTCCCACCCACCAGCGCCCAGCACGCTCCTGAAACCGCAGCCCACAGGGTCTTGTGATTTATAGCCTGGAACCTACCCACCACTGGGGAGTCCGTTTATTAAAGCTTAAGCTCCCGTCTCCGCCTTGGCCAACTCAGAATTAACTATTTTTCTTTCTAGACTGCAAACGCCCGCCTGTGTGTTTCTCTGGGCCAGCGTGGGCAGGCAGGCAGGCCGGCTCGAGGGGAAATACGGGGGTTCTGGGAACAGAGCCACTGCGATCCCCGAGCAGAAGCAGCAGCTGCCGTGTGTGGGGCTCCCACCAGCCGGTGCCGGGCCTCCAGGCCTCCTTTCCGTGGGTCCCCGGGAAAGCCCTGTGCGGCGGCCGCAGACGGGGAAACCGAGGCTCAGAGAGGCTCTGGGCTGCACACGGGGCGAGTAGCAGAGCTGGATTGGAATCCAGGCCGGTAGCCCCGGTGCCCGGCTCGGCTGGGCCCAGGGCTGGAGGCTGCCACCTTCAGACGGGAGCGGAGGCCTGGACAGGTGGCCAGAGAGCTCTGGACGCGGAGGGAGAGTCAGACCTCAGGAGCCTGAGCCCCCAGCCGGCTCCTTCCTGGCTGAGCAAGGATGCCTCCCGCTCTGGAGTAAGAATCCCTGCCGGGCTGGTTTTTCCAATGGTTAGGGTCCCCAAGACCCTCCAGTGCCGGCCCGCACATTGAAGACCCTTAGGTTTGCTCCCAGCCAAGGGCCCAGGCCTGGATTGCAGGCTCGGTCCCTGGCCCTGGTCAGGGGGCATGTGGGAGGCAACCGGTCCATGTCTCTCTCTCACATTGGTGCTTCTCTCTCTCTGTCTCTCCCCCTCCCTCCAAGCTAAAAACCAATGGAAAAATATCCTCCCGTGAGAATTAACCAAACAAACAAACAAACAAACAAACAGGAAAACAGCTTCCCTCCCGGGCACCGGAGACGGGAATGACCCTGGGAGGAAGGTGACACCCAGGGGTGTTCAGACACTTTAGGGTGTAGAACCCCCTTTCCAAGTGCTCTGTTGCCCCAAAAGCTTTTAAAACAGAAAGTGCAGCTGCCCTCCTCCATCTCCATGCTATCCCCAAGCCCCCTCGCTGCACCCCGTGGGGGGACCACAAGGCACCAAAGGATTGATGGGGGGCCTTGTCCAAGGTCACACAGACGCTGGGCCCCAGCACCCTCACCTTGAGGAAAGGTCAAAGGGGAACGTGGGGGTCCAGCTGCCACCACTTACCTGCCACCCAGCAACCCGGCCACCTGTCCCACCTCTGCCGCCGCCGCCGCCACCACTGCCAGGCGGAGGAGGGCCGTGCTGGCCCAGGTCCCCACCCCGCCCGCCCCGGGTGTCAGTGTCACCTCGGCAGGTGCCAGGCTCCTGCAATGGAAACCCAGGAAGTGCACCGAGAGAACACACGCCTTTTGTCCGCGCTCAGAGGCCCGCTCCCCTCCTCCTGGCCGCCGCCTCGGACCAGCTTTCTCCCAGGCAGCTGACGAAGAGGCTCAGGTGGCGGCAGGGACCCTGGGGGGCAGGGCAGGGTAGGAGGGAGGTGTGGCTGTCAGACCCAACGCAGGGGGACCCTGGCCACTGTCCAGCCTGCGGGGGGCACGCACCTGCCGCCCACAGTGGGAGGAGGGCTCTGATCCAACCAGCACCGATGGGCACCGGCTAGGAGCTGGGCAGGAGGCGAGGAGCTCGAGGGAATCAGGTCAGACACAATCCATCCTTGTCCCCAGGAGCTTACAGAGAGGCTGGGGCCATCAACCCATCATCCCCATCGTGTAATTACCAGGGAGAGGTGTGCTCGGAGGCAGCGAGGTGCAGGTGAGGGGGGGGGGGGCAGGCCTCCAGGGGGGAGGGGGCAGATGACCTTTAAGCCTAGATGAGGAGGAGTCAGGAGAAGTTGGGGGAAGGGGAGGCAATAGGGAAAACCTGGGCTTTGAGGTCAGACTTAGGTAAGGTGACCAGACGTCCCGCTTTTGGCGGGACTGTGCCGCCAAAAGCGGGATGTCGGGTGACCTTAGACTTAGGCTTCGCTCCCAGCTTTCTGGTGCTGGCTGTGACCTTGGCCAAGTCCTTGCCACTCCAAGGACTTGGCAGAACCGCCGGGCACAGAGGCCTCTCCCGTGGTGGGAGTCGGCTCCATGCATGCAGCACTGGCCTCCTCCCATCACCTCGCCTGGTCTCTGAGCTCTCGGTGCACATGGTCCATGGGCCCTGCAGCTAGACCTCAGGACAGGGACGGGGTTCCCTGAGCTTCAGTCCTGGGGCCCGGTGGCTGAGGAAGGGAAGCATCTGAACAGCTGCCCTTCCCCTTGGGCTCCCTGGGGTCCGGCTCAGAGCAGACTGTCAGTCCCAGCCTGTCTCGGCCGGGTGTACAGCTGCAGGAAGCTGGACATCCAGGTCAGGTGGGGGTCACCCACTCGCTAGCAAACAGCCCCTCCCCAGGCCTCACAGCTTGGTTCCCTCCTGTATTAGCGCTGTGACCTTGAGCAAGTCACTAATCTCTCCGAACCTTGAGCTTCCTGATGGGGAGAAAATAATCAACTCCTCACAAGGTTGTTCTGAAGGCTGGGGTGGTGGTGGTGGTTAGGGAGTTAGATAATGCAAGAAAAATTCACAGCCGAAATCGGTTTGGCTCAGTGGATAGAGGGTCGGCCTGCGGACTAAAAGGTCCTGGGTTCGATTCCAGTCAAGGGCATGTACCTTGGTTGCGGGCACATCGTCAGTAAGGGGTGTGCAGGAGGCAGCTGATCAATGATTCTCTCTCATTGTTTCTAACTCTATCCTTCTGTCTTTCTCTCTGTAAAAAAAAAATATAAATCAATAAAATATATTAAAAAAAAAAAAGAAAGAAAGAAAGAAAGAAAGAAAGAAAGAAAGAAAGAAAAGAAAAATGCGCAGCACGCATGGGGGTTGTCACTCCTCAAAGAGAGTTGCCTATTGACAGTTCTGCAAGTGAAATGCAAATGTGCTCATCTTTCTCTGCCTGGGAACCTGCCCCCTCCCCCCAGAGGTTCCTGCTCCATTGCCCAAGCTGCTGCCTCGTCTCTGTCTCTTTACTCACATCGGAAAGGTGTGGTTGAGGCGGAGTTCTAGTCCCTCCTGGCGGGAGGGGCACCAGAGGCCACGGACAGGCTCTGGGTTAAGTGCCCTCCCTCCATCTTCTTGCTCAATCCTCTCAACAAACGGGGAAACCTAGGTACAGAGAGTAACTTGCTCAAGGTCACGTCCATTAGTGAGCTTCGTTCAAACCCAGGTCAAGTTCATAGAGCAATGTTCAGAAACCCCGTGGGGCCTACCTCAGCCACAGCGATAGCCTTGGCGATAGATTTTGCTCGGCTGGCTCCCTCGGTCCATTCAGGTTCCTCAGTGAAGCCCTCTAAGAAGCAGCTTCTAGGATGGCTCCCGGGGATCCCCACCTTCTGCCAAACCCTGTATGACCCCCTCCTCTCAAGGGTGACTTGCTTCTAACCGATGGGGCACAGCAACAACAGTGGGAAGCCGCTTTTCACACTGGGTTACAGAACGACGGTGACTCGTCCTGCTGTTCTCTCCCCCTCTCGTGCTTGGTTGCTGGAGGGAAGCCAGCCATCAGGTGGTGAGCTGCCCTATAGAGAGGCCCATGTGGCAAGAACTGAGGGGTCCCCTGCCCAGTAGCCACAGGGAAGCCGAGGCCTGAGGCCCGGGAGCCCAGGAAAAAGTGAATCCTGCCAACAACCATGGGAGTGAGGTTGGGTTTGGGTCCTTCCCCAGTCGATCCTTAGGATGACAACACAGCCTCCCCCAGCATCTTGACCGTGGCCTGTGAGAGACCCTAAGCCAGAGGACCCAGTCAAGCTGCACCCAGGTTCCCAACACGCACAGAAAGTGAGACAATACATGTCTGTGCCGAGACCGGTTTGGCTCAATGGATAGAGCGTCGGCTTGGGGACTGAAGGGTCCCGGGTTCGATTCCGGTCAAGGGCATGTACCTTGGTTGCGGGCATATCCCCAGTGGGGGGTGTGCAAGAGGCAGCTGATCGATGATTCTCTCTCATCGATGTTTCTAACTCTCTGTCTCTCTCCCTTCCTCTCTGTACAAAATCAATAAAATATATATTAAAAAAAAATACATGTCTGTTATTTTTAGCTGCTTGGTTTTGGGGTCATTTGTGGTGCAGCTGTAAATAACAAAAGACCCTCCCTAGCCCTGTAGCCTCCCATCACTCCATCCCCTTACCAGATGTTCAGTAATTACTTGTGAATGAATAAATAGAGAAAGGGATGTGGGACACCCTGAGGGACAATGCTATCGCTTAGAAAAGCCAGAGGGGTGTGTGTGTGTGTGTGTGTGTGTGTGTGTGAGGGGGCTTAGGAGAGAAGTGGCTGGTTCCTCCCAATCCCAGCTGCCCCAGGGGTTACCATCATGCCCACGGAGCAGGGAGTGGGCACTCTGGTCTCCCACCTCCTCCTCCTTAGGATGCTGGTCAGGCCCAGGTCTGGGGTCTCGGGGTTTCCGTGGGATCAAGTCCCAGAGCCATGCCCCTGCTCCAGGCCACCCTTTTGCCTCTCCGCTGCCCTCTAGACTTCGGCCCTATTTCTCTGTGTTTGGAATGTAGATTTGCTAAATGCCTCTTTCAGAGTGATCTAATGTTTATACCCTGGTTGGACTTTTCACAAAAATAATTGAGTAGATAAGAAAAGAATCCCATTCCAGCCCACGTGGCCCAGGTTTTGTTTGGAAAATGGTCCCTGTGCCCATAAAAAGGAAAGGACCTCGAGTCCAATTCCTCCCAGCTCGTCCCCACTGGGTGCTAGGCTGTATGGGGCCGGAAGGTCAGGGAACCTTCCAGCAAAAAACGTCAGAACAGTTGGACCTGATGCCCAGTCTGGGTCCAGCAAGGGGCTGGCCCTGTGCCCGCCTAACGGGGGCCATTTCCTCCTAGATTGGGACAAGCTTCCTGCCCAGAGGGACCGGGGTGCCCTCCCAGGCTGAGGGGGGGTGGGTCCTATGTTGGCGGTGGAGGGACCCTTAGGCCTGTCCCCACCTCAGCTACTCTGAGGCCGGAAGGCCTCTCCTGGGGGCGGGACAAAGCAAGGGGTCAGAGGTGGGGCTCAAGCTGTGAGTTGGGTGGCCACTCCTGGAGGAGCTAGCTGGCACCCCCATCCAGCCTGGGCCAGCCTGCCCTGTGTGCCGGGGTGCCCCAGGGGGAGAGTGAAAAGTCCTAGGCTGGACTGTCCGCTCCAGTGCAGCCTTTGGTGACCGTGGCGGCCTTTGCTGAGAAGCCAGACCCGTCGGAGCCTGGACTCCTCCAAGAACATTCTCCAGCCTCTATCCCAGCTGCCCCAGCGCTGTCTCTCCACCCCTTGGCAGCCGGGCTGGCCGTCTCCTTTGCCCCCTGAGGCCCCTGCTGGGCAAGAGCCCCAGCTGGGTCCCCAGGGAACAAGCGGCCCCGCAGGGCTGGGCGTCTGGGCCCGGAGAACGGGACTGTGATGGAGCCTCGGCCACCCCGGACAAAAGGTGGCCAGAAGCTGCCAAGAATGGACCTGCCCACCTGTTAGTGTTTCTGGCTCCGATGCGTCAACAAGAAGAGGAAGCAGGAAGCATGCAAAGCTCTTGAGCTCTGGGGGTAAGCCCCTGGATTCAAACCCTGACTTTGCCGCTCCCTGGCTGTGTGCCCTTGAGGACGTTATTTAACCTCTCTGAGCCTCAGTTTCTGGATCTGTAAAAGGGAATAACATGCCCTAGCTGACTTGGCTCAGTGGATAGAGCTCCAGCCTGCGGACTGAAGGGTCCCGGGTTCGATTCTGGCCAAGGGCACATGCCTGGGGTGCAGCTTGATCCCCAATGGGGGATGCGCGGGAGACAGTGGATCCATGATTCTCTCTCATCATCAATGTTTCTCTCTCTCTCCCCTCTTCCTCCCTGAAACCAATAAAGAAATATATTAAAAAAAAAAAAAAAAAAAAAAAAAAGGAATAACAGTATCAACCTCTTGGGGCTGATGTCAGAACAAAATCAGATTACTAAAAAAAGCACATAGCCGAGACCGGTTTGGCTCAGTGGATAGAGCGTCGGCTTGGGGACTGAAAGGTCCCGGGTTCGATTCCGGTCAAGGGCATGTACCTTGGTTGCGGGCACATCCCCAGTAAGGGGTGTGCAAGAGGCAGCTGGTCGATGACTCTCTCTCTCATCGATGTTTCTAGCTCTCTATCTCTCTCCCTTCCTCTCTGTACAAAATCAAAATCAATAAAATATATTAAAAAAAAAAAAAAAAAGCACATAACCCATGGTAGTTGTTCTAACAGGCTCAGAGGGGGACAGCAGCCTACCCAAGGGTACACAGCAGGCCAGCAGAGGCGTCTTCTGTACCTGCTGGAAAAGCAAAGGCCACGAGGCGGACGGAGCTGAGTCGGGAAGCCTCCTCATGGCCTTAGACAAGCCAGGGGCGGGGGGACCTGAGGCCTTCTCAGCATTGCGTTCCCTCCAGCTGTGCCTCAGCCTGGGACGGGACAGGACGGCACCGTCCACCCAAGATGCAGGTGGGTGCTAGCGCGCGTCCATCCGCCGCACCCACCGCCTCCTCAGCCGCCTCCTCAGCCACCTCCTGACACACATCCCGGGAGCCGCCCGGCCAGGAAGCTGTGGAGGGAGAGGCTTGCCCCGCTGCATGCTCAGGACTCCGGCCACAGGGTGAGGGACCGTCTTTATTGTCTGAGGGGAGCCCAGGAGCCGGTGGGGGAAGCCCCTGGGGCAGGGCTCAGGGCTTTGCGCCCACGGCCCACCCTGCCTAAAGGTTAACCCCGGGCGCCCCTCCTCACCCCACACCCTCCCCTCCCTCTCAGGGGGCTCCAGTGCGAGTCCAAGTGGGGCCACCCTGCCCCCAGCCGCCAGGCGCCATGCTGTGCGGCCTCCAGTGAGCCTGGGTGCAGAGTCCTCTGCGGGCAGGTCAGGAGGGGGCCGGGTCCTGCGTCTGGGCCGGTGCTGAGGGCTGGGCCTGGCTCGGAGCTGACATGGAAGGCCTCTGGGGCGAAAACTCCTGAAGGAAGGAGCGGGAGGAGGATGGAGGATGGAGGATTCAGGACCTCTGGGGCACAGGTCAAAGGGTAACACCAGGTGAGAGAGGGGATCCCCAAGAGAGGTTTCCCCAGCTCGCCCAAAGGAATATTTTTTCCATCGATTTTTAGAGAGAGTAGAAGGGAGGGGGGAGAAAGAGAGAGAAAAGAACATCCAGGTGAGAGAGACCCAGCGATTGGTTGGTTGCCTCCCGCACGTGCCTCGCCCGGGACAGGGGAACAAGCCCGCAGCCGAGGTTCGTGCCCCTGGCTGGAATCGAACCCAGGACCCTCCAGTCCATGGGCTGACACGCTAAGCACCGAGCAAACCAGCGAGGGCCCGGCTCTTCTTGAACCTGGGCCCGGGAGGCCCCGGCTGTCCGGGGCGGGGCAGGGCGACCCTGCGGAGGGAGCCCAGGGTGGTGCCCACCTGGACCTGGCAGAGGCCGAGCAGGGCGCGCACGCCCAGCAGGCACCAGAGCTCGCCCAGCAGGGAGACGAGGACGCCCAGGAGGTCCAGCCAGCGGCCCACGGTCAGCAGCAGCACGAAGAGGCCGCCCATGCGCACCAGCACCGTCTGCACCTGGCTCTGCAGGCCCGGGCGCTGCCGCTGCTCCTCTGCGGACACACCGGACACACCGCCGTCACCCACGCCTGCCGCGGCCGGCACCCACACAGGCCCGGCTGGACCCGGCTGCACCTCCCGCGCCCCCTCCCCCTGCAACCCCTCTCCCTTGCTGGCCGCACCCCCATATGCTTGGAGTCCCCAAAGCACCAGGCCCTCTGCCTCCCGGGCCTCGCTGCTCGCCTGCGCCTCCCGCTGCTGTGCCCCTCCTGTGCTCAGGACAGAGCATGCCAGCCTGCAGCCCAGCTCCTCTCCTGCACGTCTACGCCTCACCCCTCAGGAGCCTGTCCCCTCTGCCACGCAGATCCCCACCCAAGGCACCTCGCCACCCCACTGCCCACCCGGTCCCGGCCACCTTCATCTATCCAAGCAGTCTCCTCCCTGGGCTCCTGGCTTGTTTTATCTTTTTAAAATATATTTTATTGATTTTTTTACAGAGAGGAAGGGAGAGAGATAGAGAGTTAGAAACATCCATGAGAGAGAAACATCAATCAGCTGCCTCCTGCACACCTCCCACTGGGGATGTACCCACAACCAAGGTACATGCCCTTGACTGGAATCAAACCTGGGACCCTTCAGTCCACAGGCGGACACTCTATCCACTGAGCCAAACCGTTTTTGGCTTGTGTTCTTTTGTAAATATATATATATATATATATATATATATATATATATATATATATATATATATATATATAATTGATTTTTTTTTACAGAAGGGAGAGGGGTAGAGAGTAAGAAACATCAATGAGAGAGAATCATCAATCAGCTGCCTCCTGCACACCTTCTACTAGGGATGTGCCCACAACCAAGGTACATGCCCTTGGTCGGAATCAAACCTGGGACCCTTGAGTCCGCAGGCTGACGCTCTATCCACTGAGCCAAACCTGTTTCGGCATGGCTTATGTTCTTGACCCTACAATTCAAGCGTCTACTCAACAGCTCACCACCTTCCAAAGGCGTCCGTGAGAGGAAGCCCTCTCTCTGCGAGCAGCCCGCCAGCACTTCCCTCGGCGCTTGGAAGAAGCTCACGCGCCTGCCTTGTCTGAGGCCCTGCTGGGTGTGACCGGTGCCCGCACCAACCTCACCTCACCCCTGACTCTCCCCTTCACTCAAACCCGCAGCACCTGCGTTTCTCTGCTGTGCAGCGAGCACACCAGGCTCTCTCCCACCCCAGGGCCTTTGCACCGGCTGCCCTCGGCCTGACCGCCCTTCCTTTCCCGGCCACCCTCACTCTTTCCAGCCCATCCCACTCTGCAGCCAGGAGCCTCTTCCTAGAGCCCAGATCTGACCAGACCCCCTCCCACTCTCCCGCTCTCCAAACCCTGCCCGGTCTGGCCCACGAGGACTCTCCATCAGACCCCAGGGAACCTCATCAGCCTCAGCCCCTCTCGGGTGACAGCCACACTCAGCTTCTTCCCGTGGTTTGAGGCTGCCGTGCCCTCTCACCTCTGAGCCTTGGCGTACAAGGTCATGTCCCCCCCACACCTCTCTCAGGGGCTCCTGCCTACCCTTCAAGGTCCAATTCCAGCACCGTCTCCTCAGCCCTCGCTGAGCTGCCCCACCACGTGGCCTCTGCCACAGGCTAGGCGCCCTGGGGGGGTGGGGGCGGGGGCTAGCTTGTCAGCCTCTGGAGATCCAGGACAGTGCTGGGCCATCAGTCAGAAGGATGTGGATGCCCAGCGGTGCCCGGCCCCCCCGCAGCCCTCACCTTGCATGTATAATAGATGACCAGCAGGGGGCACCCCAGCCCTCACCTTGCATGTACAATAGATGACCAGCAGGGGGCACCCCCAGCCCTCACCTTGCATGTACAATAGATGACCAGCAGGGGGCACCCCCAGCCCTCACCTTGCATGTAGATGACCAGCAGGGGGCACCCCCAGCCCTCACCTTGCATGTAGATGACCAGCAGGGGGCACCCCCAGCCCTCACCTTGCATGTACAATAGATGACCAGCAGGGGGCACCCCCAGCCCTCACCTTGCATGTAGATGACCAGCAGGGGGCACCCCCAGCCCTCACCTTGCATGTAGATGACCAGCAGGGTGTAGCAGATGGTGAGCGGCGTCCAGAAGCGCATGGCCTCCGAGGTGGTCAGGAAGTCCTGGTTGATGAGGGCCACGGCCGCCAGGTCGCCCACGGCGAACGCCACGACCAGGGCGCGGCCCAGCAGGCGGGGCAGGTCACAGGCCCGGGCCAGCAGGCCCAGGCAGACCCCGCAGTAGTGCTGGCTGCTGTGCAGCTCGTAGAGGCGGCAGACGTGGCGCAGGAGGCGCTGGGCCTGCGAGCTCAGCAGCGCGGCCAGCCCCAGGCCCAGCAGCAGGTTGAGCGTGCGGTGCGGGGCGCCCTCCTGCAGGAAGCTCAGGCCGCAGGTCAGCCCGCAGCCCAACGAGTACTGGCCCAGCAGGCACAGCTGCAGCCGCTCAGCACTCCCGGAGCCCTGGCGGGAGGGGCAGAGAGGGGCCGCGATGGTGGGTCCCCTCACCCCGGGACACGGAGGGCTGGCAGGGCACAGATGCTTCCGTCTACGGGAGGCTGGGCCCCAAAGGAAATCCAAGAGGGAATACTGGAGTCAAGCCCTAATGCACCATTTCCTTCTTTCTTTCTTTCTTTCTTTCTTTCTTTCTTTCTTTCTTTCTTTCTTTTTAAAAAAATATATTTTATTGATTTTTCACAGAGAGGAAGAGAGAGGAATAGAGAGTTAGAAACATCGATGAGAGAGAAACATCGACCAGCTGCCTCCTGCACACCCCCCACTGGGGATGTGCCCGCACATGCCCCTGACCGGAATCGAACCTGGGACCCCCTCAGTCTGCAGGCCGACGCTCTATCCACTGAGCCAAACTGGCTTCGGCCTAATGGGTCATTTCTTCCAGCTTAATTCCCATCCTGGTTGTTACCTGGGACCCACGTGCTCGCGGAAGCGGTGGTGGCTGGGAGCCTTGGAGACCTGGGCTTAAGCTGACTCCCCTTCCTATGGGTTACCTCCTCTGAGCCTTCGTTTCCCCACCTGAGACATGGGGCTACCCCAGGCCTTCCCCCCTGGTTGGGAGGCTCATGGGAGGATGCCCTCAGACGATCTAGCATGCGGGCCAGCAGCGCGCACCCACCCTCCCCCGGGCCTCACCTTGCCCAGGGACAGCAGCGTGGACACAGCCCGGAGGGAGAACTCCAGCACCACCAGGGAGGCCACCCGGGGCCCCACGAGGGTCAGGATGAGGGCCAGCCCGGGCAGGTGCGCCGTCTCCAGCAAGGCCCACCGGGCCTGCAGCCGCACCTTCTCCGGCCGCCATTCGGGGTTGCTGTGGGGGTGGAGGGGGTGGAGGCAGAGTGGCAGAACCACCAGCCTGGGCCCTGGAGGGGGTCCCCGGTCCCCGGCCACACTCCCTGGCCGGACAGAAGGTCTCCCCAGTCCTCCCTCAGAGACCAGAGTCACAGCTGGGGGCCCGGGGAGGGGGTGCTGAAAGGGCCTGGGGGTGGCAGGGCAGTGGGCACTCACTTGGCACAGCCCACGAAGAAGTACACCTTCAGGAGGCTGCTCAGGACGGAGACACCGCAGGCCCCGATGAGGCCTGACGGGAGGGAGAGAGAGAGGGAGAGGGCGTGCTCGCAGGGTTAGAGGAGGGGCAGCCGAGGGCTGGGAGACCTGTGGGTGAGTGCCCAGAGGGAGCAGGCCCTGGAGGGGGCAGGAGGGGGCGCTCACCTTTCAGGACAGAGTCGAGGAGGAGGCCGGAGCCCCACTCGAGGGAGGAGAGGCCCGGGAGCCAGGAGGGGAGGGCCGGCAGGGAGAACATGGCAGCCGGATCCAGCCAGGCCTGGGGCCAGGTCTGCCCCAGAGAGGCTGACGTCACAGGGCAAAGGTGCCGGTGGAGAGGGAGGTGGGAGGGGTCAAAGGCCCGGGGCTGGAGGGCAGCGGGAGGGTTAAGGGGCGACGGGACCACCAGGTGAAGGGAGGGGCATCTCTGGGGCTGGTCTCTGTCTCTGCTCAAGTCTGGTGCCCGCTGTCCTCCCTCTCCCTTGGGGCTTGCCACACGGGGGCTTCCTGAAGCCCAGGCCTCTGTCTGTCACCCGTTGTCCCCAGCCTTAGGGCTCTGTCCTCTCAGCCCAGAATCTGGAAGGGGCATCTATCCCCCTACATTCCTGAGGTCAGGCTCTACTCTCAGCCCGAAGTCTGGAGGGGGGGGCATATATACCCCCCCCCAGGCGTGAGGTTGGGATCCAGCTCTGGGCCCACCCCCTCAGCCACTGGCAGCCGCCTTGACTATCCTCTCTGTGTCCACTAGGTGGCAGGCTTCTCCGGGGCCAGACAGGGTGGGGCTGGATGGCCCAAGGCTTTTGGATCCTCCTTTCCCAGACTGAAGTAGCCAAGGAAAGGGGTTCAGGGGTGGGGGAGACTGCTCGGGAGAGCCGGAAGGGGGCTCAAGGGTGGGGGAGACTGAGGCTGCCGGCAGAGGAGACTGATTGACGTAAAGAAAATAGAAAACTTTATTGGTTTGGAGTGTTGGTAGGCGTGCCCCCCGAGCAGCTTTCCCACGACGCGGGTGTTGGCAGGGAAGGCAGTTCAGGCTGCTGGGCCTGGGCCAGGCTCCCCCTCCAGGGGCCTGGTGTCCACCTCCGCAGCACAGAGGTCAGCGCGGCCTTAGGGACACCCACGCGGGGAGTGTGGCTGCAGCTCGGAGGAAACGCTGGAGGAGGACGCCTGGCTCTGCTACTCCCCTTGGGCCAGTCACTCCCCCAGCCTGGCCTCAGTCTCCTCATTGAACCATGGGCTGTGGTTCGCCATGAGGCCCCGTGCGAATGCCTGCAGGGCTGGGCCCTGGGAGGGCCTCAGTAGAACCAGCGTTGATGTGGCAGGCTGAATTGTGTCCCCCCTGCACCCCAACTCACTATAATGAAGTCCTACCCCCCGCCCCAGGACCTCAGAGTGTGGCTGCAGTTGGAGAAGGGTTTTTACAGAGGTGATGAAGTTGACATGCAGTCACTCGGGTGGCCCTAGTCCCCTATGACTGGTCCTAGAAGGTGAGACTGGGGCACAGCCACGCACAGAAGGAAGGACGCAGAGAAGTCAGCCGTCTCAAGCCAAGGAGAGAGGCCTGAGAAGACACCAGCCCTGCTGACCCCTGGATCTTGGACTTCCGGCCTCCAGGACTGGGAGAAACAGCCGCCTGGTTTGTCCCGGCAGCCCTGGCCGACTGCCACGGAGAGGACACGCCTCCGGGCACGCAGGGTCTCCTCCCGTGTGCAGTGATCCCGAGGGGACACTCCGCCCGCGTGCTGGAACTTGCCAAGGGCACAGCTCTGGGCTGGGCAAGGTGGCTCCAGTCCTGGCTCTGCCATCTCAGCGCTGTTGTGTGGCTTCGATCAAAGCTCTCCACCCTCCGAGCCTCGGCTTGCTCCTTGGTGAGAGGTCTGTCACTCCCCCTGTGGTTTCCGGTGGAAGCAGCGGATGCAGGTACGGGACCCACCTCCTGGTTGCCCTCGCTCGGGGCAGTCATGATCACGGTGAGGACGGCCCTGGGACAAGGCCCCCCAGGCAGAGAAGGGAGGGAAGGGGGAGGACCTCTGGAGAGCAGAGGTGGTGGTTTGCAGCAGGCTGGTGGGTCCCGGGGCCGGGCGGACCGGCTGTCCACACGCCCCAGACCTGGGGCAGAGCCTGGGCTGTGGCTGGAGAGAGGGCCATGCCCAGCCGGAGCGGGGTGACGGGCTGTGTCAGGATGTGGAGTGAGGGACGCCGGGGTGCCCGGGACCCCCCTATCGGGCCAGCTTCCGCAGCTCGTCCCAGAAGAGCATGCTGAGGATGGTGTGCGGGCCCAGGCGCAGGTAGGCAGGGCCCAGGCCCTTGTAGAGAGCAGGGGGTCCCTCCTGCCGCCAGATCTTCACCAGGCAGTCCGCCAGGCCCCGGTACAGCAGGCCCTGGGGAGACACAGGGGGTGTCATACAGGGGCCTGGGGCCCTGGCTGGCACTCAGAGTGTGTCCGTGTGTGAGGGCTTCTGCAGCACCTCAGAAAAGGCACCCCCCCCCCCCACCCTTCCCACCAAGCTAGGGAAATTTCAGAATGAAGGACCTTTCTGTAATGTGGCAACATTTTAAAAGGAGTCTCTTCCCTCAGGCAGCCCCAGCCCAGCCCCAGCCAGGGGCTCAGTTTTGCTAGGGACAAACACAGGTGGGTTTTCGTCCCTGACTCAGCCTGTGGAGGGCACCTGTGTGTTGGGCACAGCTGTGCCAGCGTATACGGTGGCGGGCACCTGTCTGTGAGGCCGGGGGTCGGGCCTAGGTTCCAGTGCAGGGTCCTCCACATGCCAGCTGAGTGACTTCAGGCAAAGTCACCTGATAGCTCTGAGCCTCAGTTTCCCCATCAGGAAAATGAAGGTGGGTGTGAGGATGGAACAAAATCCAGATGTGAGACTGCTTAGCACGTGCCTGGGTCCTAGGCGCTCCACACACAAGCCGAAAGAATGCGTTTGCATGTATGTCACATCTGTGTGTGTGTGTGTGTGTGTGTGTGTGTGTTGGGAAGGGTGCTCTCCAGCTCCCCACATCCTCGCCACCTGGTCCCCTGCTCACCCTGCCAGCTCCATCCACGGGCTGATTGTACAGCCGAGTGCTGACCACATCGAAGGGGGTCATGACGGCCACCACCGCCACACTGCTGATCATGCCTCCGGCCAGCGCCACCAGCCAGCTGTCCTCCGGGAGCCACTGTGGGGATGGCACAGGCTGCTGACACCCGCTGCTGTGCCCACCAGCCTCCCTCCACCTGGGGGGTCAGGAGAAGACAGGGCCCTCCAGCCATTCCCCACCCACATCTCCCCCACAAGGCCCCTCCCACCTTCAGGGCTCACTGCTGGCCCCCCATTCCTGTGCCCAGGGGTCCTACGGGGCCCCGTCTGTCACCGCCCGCGGGGATTCCCTGAGGTGTGACCTGGGCCCAGGCAGGAGGCCTCCTCCCCCCTGGGTGTCTGTGTCCCTGGCCCCTCACCTGTCGCTCCTGCACCCAGGCCTTGGCCGAGGCGAAGGTGGCCAGCTGGGCAGCAGAGCCAACCATGACTCGGGGCACAGCCCCGCCCACACCCCGCCACAGGCCTGCCAGGCCCTGCTGCCGCCAGATGGTCTCCATGGCGCCCAGGAGGCTCTGTGGGGAGAGGGCACAGGGTCACTGGGCAGCCCCTGCCCACCCAGGAGCCCACCCAGCCCAGGGAGCTCTGGGGAGTGGCAGTCCCACCTGGTGGTGGTGCTGGTGCCCCACGGCCATCTCGGCCACCGTCTGGGCCTGCAGCTGCGTTTTGACCTGTGAGAGCAGAGGTGATGGAGGGCTCAGGGCGCGGCCTTGGAGCCTGGCTGAGCTGTGTGGGTGGAGGGCACCCTTTCCTGGTTGCCAGGGCAGAGTGCAGGCCCAGCAGTGATGTTCCAGGGGGCAGTCCCTCCTGGACCTCAGGAGCCCACGCCTGCAGCTTGGGGGCGTGTGAGACAGGGTTGGGGCGAGCCTCCAGATTGGCCTGGGTGTGCACCACCTCCTGTGTCTGCTTACCTCTGGAAAGCTGTTCTGAGGGCGGGGGGTGGGGGGGGTGGAGAGGTGTGGAGAGGACAGTGCTGGCCCTGGCTCCAGGAAGCTTCATTCTTTTTTAAGTTTTTTTTTTTTTTTTAATAGAGAGTACTTATTCATTTTTTATTTTTAAATGTTTTTTAATTGATTTTTAAAGAGAGAGAAAGGGAGAGGGAGAGATAGAAACATGGATGAGAAAGAAACATCATCGATCAGCTGCTTCCTTCCCGCCCCTGACTGGGGATGGAGCCCACAACCTGGGCACGTGTCCTGTCCAGAAATAGAACAGGTGACCTCTTAGTTCCTGGTTGATGCTCAACCACTGAGCTATACCAGACAGGCATGGGAGCTTTATTCTTCTTTATTTTTTATTGACTTTTTTAAGAGAGAGAGGGGGAGGGAGGGAGAGGGATAGAGAGATGAGAAACATTGAAAGGCTGCCTTCTGCATGTCCCCCACTGGAGGTCAAGCCTGCAGCCTGGGCGTGTGCATCGAACCCAGGACCTCTTGGTTCATGGATGGATGCTTGACCACTAAGCCACACTGACAGGGCTGGAAGCTTTATTCTTGACCTAAGTGCACACCTCCTGCTTACCTCCAGCCCACCCGCTACCCCCGCCCCTGCCTGGCTCAGGACCTGCGGGTGGGGGCTCCTGGGGACAGAGGATGGACGGGGCAGGGTCCTGGGGCAGATTTCAGTCCTGGGAAGGGATGTTCCAGGGAGCAGCCCCACCCAGCCTGCCCCACCCAGAGGCCAGCCCAGGAAGCTTCAGAGCCTGGGCGGGAGTCGGTCTCTGGTGGTGGAGGATGGAGTTGGGTCCCGGGTGGTGGAGGACAGAGACGAGGCACTCACCAGGTAAGCAGGGCTCCCCACGAAGGCTCCCAGGGCCCCAGCCACCGCACCTGCGATCACGGTGCCCCCTGGCTGCTGCGTGAGGCCGGCCTGGCAGGCCAGGCTGTAGCAATAGAAGCGGACGCTGTTCATGAGGCCCTGGTAGAGCAGGCTGGCGGCCAGCCCCTTCTGCAGGCCACTCAGCCCATCTGCTCGGGCCACGGCGGCTATGGAGGCCACAAAGCCCCGGTAGGGCTGAGGGTAGGTGCCCGGGGCCTGCAGCTCCCCCTGCAGCTGCAGCCGAGTCTTCACCACCTCCAGGGGATTGGTGAAGACGCAGGCCAGGCAACAGGCCGAGGCGCCCAGCACCAGGTCCACAGCCGGGGACACCGCTCTCGTGTCCTCTGTGCCAGCAGCCGGCTCTGCCCGGGTCAGGGGCATGGCACAGACCCTGGGGTGGTGGCGCTCAGGCTGCCTGTACCCCTGGAGGGTCACAGGGCTAGGGATCGAGGGGCCCTGGGGCCATGTCTGGAGGGCAGGGACAGGCCTGCAGCTGCCAGGCTGTTGCTGATCTATCCGGGGAGTCCACCTGCTCCGCTCAGCGCCCGGGCTGTGGGCGCCTAGGACACACCCCTGCTGGGCTCTGACCAATCCCAGCGGCCTCTGTTCTCCACACCTCCCTGCTGGGGCGGCCCTAGACTCTGGGATCTGGGGCGAAGGTCAGCTGGATCAGAAAGAGACTGGGGGCGGGGAGAAGGTGCCAATCAGCGGAAACTCCTTCCCCTGCCCCTTGTCCTCCAGCCTCCCTGTGGTCCCCGGGGCAAAGGGCTGGTGCTGCCGCCCACCTTTGGCTCAGCCAGTCCTGCCGCAGCAGAGCCCTGGGCATGGGAACTGCCCGGGGCTCCTGGCCACAGCCTACAGCCTGCCTGGGCACCTCAGCAACAGCCCCACCGCTGCCCCTGCCCTGTGAGGTGCCCTTTCCGGCCCCAGCCTTCTGGTCTGGCTCCTGTCAGTGAGCGCGGAGGAGGGGACGGACCAGACTCCCAGCTGTGCTAGAACGTGACCCGGCAAATCACTCCCCTCGGAGCTTCACTTTCCGTTTGTAAAGGGGGGCATCCATCCCCGCAGGCCTTCTCTGGAGGGTCAGCGATGTGTGAAAAGCACCCACCGAAGGTGGTTCACATTGCCCTGCGGGGGCCCTGCCGGGGAGGGGACCACAGGAGTGAGTGGCTTGGCCGCTTCCCGGGTAGGGACTTGTCCCTCAGCGCGCCCCTCCCCGTGGAGCCCCTCCCAGTTGTGGCTTCTGGAGGAGGCCCTGCAGGATATGGCCCTTTGTGCCAGGTGAGAAGGGACTCCCCACCCCACCCGCACTGCTGCCAGGCGCCAGGCTGCTCGCCTTGACCTCTGCCCTCAGAGCAGCTCTCCTGCCAGGGCCACCCTGCATCACCCTAGGTGATGTCAGTGTCAAAACCGGAGGCAGAGGCGCCCTGCCTGGAACCCCGCCTCGGTGGCCACCACACCCACCCCCTCCCGAGCTTTCCCCTCTCCTCCTGTGTGTGTGTGTGTGTGTGTGTGTGAGGCCCTGCAGGTGGCAGTGTGAATGGCTCCCGGCCTAATAGGCTTGGCATCCTCCAGGCAGCCCCTGGGCAGGAGCTCAGCAAGAGGCCTCGGGAACTACGTGAACTCTCCCGGGTTTACCTGGAGTGGCTGGCACCTACCCCTGGGCTGGGAGGCCGGGGGGCAGGCCTCGCCCGCCGGTTATGGAGACTTTTCCAGGACTCGGGCCACCCCACCCCTGGCCCTGCAGGACACAGGAGAGAGGGCAAAGGTCAGACCATGAAACTCCCAGGCCTGGGCTCCTCCAGACTGGAGTGCCCAGGGCCGCAGGGGGTCTGTTTCCCAGCGTTGGCACCGGCGGCTGATGGAACACTGTGGAATGGAGAACGAGGGGCCTGGGCAGAGGGATTGAGGTCCCCACCTCCATCCTGGACAAAAGGGCCAGCGACAAGTCTTGGCAATATAACATATCTATTTTATTTTAAAAAACAAAACCCAGACCCAACTCTTTCCCCGAGAGGGCCCTTGACAGGCTCTCAGGAAGGGCCTGGCTCTGGCCAAGCAGGACAGTCAGGAGGCTCCAACGTGGACGCCAGGCTGGTGGGTCTGCCCCACTCCACGCCCGCCTCCCTGCCCTCTGCTCCCGGTGCAAAGACTCAGCCCGATTCCTGGGCCCACGGCACTGCCAGGTTCAGGGAGAGGAGGGCAGGGGCCCGCGGACATGCAGGGCCTCCTGGCAGCCGGGAGGGCCAGTCGGCCGGCCCCGCCCTGCAAGGCAGGCAGCAGTGCGCGTGGGACGGGTTAGTGAGGAGATGACATGCACTAGGAACTCAGTGTTCCACTTCCCTGCTCGGCCAGGAATACGTTCAAAAATGAACAGGATGACCAGACACTCGGGCCCCCGGGGTGGCCTGAGCCTCTGCCGGGCCATCCTTCTGCTCCCTCAGGGTCGATATTATTCCCATCATCACCCCAAAGTGACAGCATGGGCCGAGCCGGGGCCCTGGGAGGAGGCTGTGCAACTACAGAGCCCACAGGGCTCAGACCGCTGCCCTGGCATGTCCAGTGCCCGCTGCTGGGAGGTGCCTGGAATGTGCGCACCCACTCTGACCACAGGGAGGGACGGACTCTGTCTCAGGCCCCGCCCGCCCGTTCTGCCCACGGGGTGGAGTGGGCTGTGGAACGGGAGGAGGCCCGGCCCCGAGCAGTGCGCTGCCACCGTGGTGACCGTGCGTGTGCCCCCAGGACACGCCAGCTCCGCCTCAGCACCAGGGGTCCCGGGAGGCTCGGCCGCGGCACAGGCTGTCGCTGCGCTGCCACGCGCTGTGGATGAGGCTCAGGGCGTCCTCGAACTTCTTGGTGGAGGCTTCCTGGATGGCCTTGTGCGGGAGGTCCACCTGTGCCGGGCGGCAGGGCATGAGGCCACGGAGCCACACCCGGGCAGCCTGTCCGCCCGCTACACTGTGCCCTTCAGGGAGGGGCTAAGCCGAGACCAGGTGACGCTGTGGGTGGGTGCCACCCGGCAGGCCCTGCGCTCTCGCTGGCTGTGCACCCGAGTGTCCTGCTTGCCTGGGACAGCTCGGCCGCAGCCCCACCATCAGCACTCAATTTGTGCTGTTTTACTGGAACCAGGAAGCCAGGGTGTGCTAAGTCCAGACCCCGGGGGGCAGGGTTGCCTTCGGTCCTAAAGTCCGTGTCGCTCCCAGAGCTACAGGCCGTGCTGTGCCGGCGCCCACCCCTGCCTCGGTCGGGGCCACGCAGGGCTCCTCTCCGGGCACAGCTCACTCCGCAGGCCCGGGCAGCTGGGTACCTGGTAGATGGTCTTCCACCCGGAGCGCAGTGCAGACAGGAGTCGGTCCAGCTCAGACGTGCAGCTCAGGTAGATGACCCAGGGCGGGAGGGGCTGCTGGCCGTCCCGGGAGAACTCCTGGGGAGAGCAGGACCCCGTCAGCAGACACAGGGCTCCTTCTGCAGGGCCTTCCTCCAGCACCCCCACCGGACTCACCACGACACAGTACCCCCTGCCCGGTTCACCCCCCACCGGACTCACCAAGACACAGTATCCCCTGCCCGGTTCACCCCCCACCGGACTCACCAAGACACAGTACCCCCTGCCTGGTTCACCCCCCACCGGACTCACCAAGACACAGTACCCCCTGCCCGGTTCACCCCCCACCGGACTCACCAAGACACAGTATCCCCTGCCCGGTTCACCCCCCACCGGACTCACCAAGACACAGTACCCCCTGCCTGGTTCACCCCCCACCGGACTCACCAAGACACAGTATCCCCTGCCCGGTTCACCCCCCACCGGACTCACCAAGACACAGTACCCCCTGCCCGGTTCACCCCCCACCGGACTCACCAAGACACAGTACCCCCTGCCCGGTTCACCCCCCACTGGACTCACCAAGACACAGTACCCCCTGCCCGGTTCACACACACACACACACACACACACACACACACCCAACTCACCAAGACACAGTACTCCCGGCCCGGCTCCGTGGAGACGGCGCTGATGTCGGCCAGCGCGGCTGTGCCCAGAGAGCGGAAGAAGCTGGTCTGGCAATCCTCGTGGCAGGTGAACAGGCGGTCGTCCGTGATCACCAGGCAGCAGGGGATGCAGGGGCTGGGAGGTACGCCCTGGGGGATGACCTGAAGGCGTTGACAGAGGGGCAGGAGGCAAGCTGGAGCTCCTGCGGCTGGTCTCCCCACCCAGGGCCAGCCCTTAGCCCCGCCTCCAGAAGGCAGGCCCCGCCCACTCAGGGCTACAGCTGGGGGTGGGGTGACCAGGAGAGTACCAGGCCTGCCTGCTCCTGGGCTGTCCCTGGAGGAACCGTCTGGTCCCCACGGGTTGCTCCATGACTGGTGTGGGTTTAGGGAAGGGACACAGTGGGGTGGGAGGCCAGGTGAATGCGGAGGCGGGAGCAGCTCACCCCTTTGGACACGGCCTGGCAGAGGTGTTGCATCCAGTCGGCCATCTCAGCCTCGCTCTCGGCGCTCAGCTCCAGGCACGGCCGGTCGGCAAGGATGACCTGGAAGGCGTGGGGCCGATCCGTGGTGTTGGACCTCCGACAGCCACCGCACTGCTCCCCCCTGGGCCAGAGGAGGAGGGGTGAAACGGGAGCGAGGAGGCAGGGCTGGCTCGGGGTGGGAGCCCCTGTGGCTCTAGCTTGTGAGCACAGGGCCTGACAGTCCCCGGGCGGAGGACACCGGGAGAAGTCCAGACCCCTTGGCTCTCAGGAGAGGCTTAAAGCTGCTGGGCAGCCCCACTCCATCCTGTGCAATCCCTTTTATGTCCAGATTCACCAAGATCCTTCTAGAGCCTAAACACGGCCACATGAGGGGTGAGAATCAGTTCGTGGCTCCGGCCTTCAGAATCCATGCACATCCTCATGTTCCCTGTCAGCCTGACGCTTCCCCCAGTCTGTGTGCACCCATCTTCCCCTCAGGGCAGGCGCTTCCCGGGAAGAGAGGGCCTTAGCAGGCGGGGGACTGCCCCCCAGGGAGCTCTCCCTTCTCCCCACCCTGGGTCCCTGCGGTCCTGAGCTCTGCAGGACTCGGGGCACGGGTCAGGGCTGCTGGGCGCAGTGGGGTGAGAGGCAGGCGGAGCTGACAAGAGGGAGAGCCAGGAGCGGTCTCAGGGAGAAGGGGAGCACGGGCCCCACCTCACCCCATGTTCACCAGGACACTCACCCCATGTTCACCGAGAGCAGGGGGATGACATCGGTGCGGTCGGGGTACTGGTAGAGGATCCCGTTGCTGCAGGGACACACATGGTGGGGCTGAGGCCTGTCCCAGCAGGACCAGTGGAGCCCAGACCCCGGGGGCTCCCCCGGCTGGAGCCCTGACCCAGAGGCCAAGCGGGGGGCTGTCTTCCGTGGCGGGGAGGGTGAAGGAGGGACTGCAGAGGGACACACTGGGGAGCTCGGTGCAGCCCTGCCCGGGTCTCTGCCTGCAGCATTCCAGGCGGCTTCTTGGGGTGGCCGGGTGGAGCCCTGGGTGGCCCCTGAGGAGGCTGCTTCACCGAGAAGCTCTACTGCTCTGGGTCTGTGCCCCCTTAGCCCTGTGGGGAGGGCGTTTCCCCTCGGTCCCCGCCTGCGACGTGCTGCAGAACGCTCACAGCCTGTGAACCCACCACCTCAGGGTGAGCCTGACCAGAGCGCAGGCTCCCACCTGAGCACCACGAAGCACGTCTTCCAGAGCTCCTTGCCCAGGTAGGAGGTGCCCGCCTTGTAGTGCAGCATGCCTTCTTTGGTGATGGTGCCCTCGGGGGGTGAGCAGTGGCAGGGGACGGGGTCCAGGGACTCGTCAGTGGGGTCCTCCCAGTGCACGAGCCCATAGAAGCGCACGGTCACAGCGGCTGCCTGGGGGGGAGGAGGGAGTAGACAGAGCGATGAGGTCCCAGCCAGCACCAGGGCCCACTGAGAGCAAGGACCCGCCCCAGGCCCAGGCCCTCCCCCCTGCCCCTGCCTCCCCAGCTTCTCACCTCACACTTAGATTCCTGGGCCACGAACTTGGCCAGTGCCAGCTTCTCCATGGTGGCGTCGGTCAGGATGCTGGGGTACGGGGGTTCCCGACAGCCTTTGATCATGGCCGACTTCAAAGAAGCCAAGAAGAACCTGCCCAGGGAGTGGGGTTTGCCGTCAGAGGCATGTGCCCCCCA